CAAATTGTTGCTACAATGTTGTTACATTCAGTATTTTTCTTAGCAATCCAAACTAGTTATGAAAATATTTCAAACTGCATTATTACTTGTGCTTCAAACAAAAATAATTGAATGAAAAAAAGCTTAAATTATTTTTCGATAAAACATAATAAAAGTTACTGATAAAAAGATTGTTAGCAACAAAGTTTCATTACCAGCCATAGATGTCACAATAATAAGTAAATTTTATCGGCGTCATGCCAAGTTCGCGCCACATATTTCGTTGGCTGTTGACGTGTGGTCTTAAATTGTCATCATCTTTTGACGTCTCGCAGTCAAAAAAATGCATATCGCAGAAAAATATAATATAAGAAAGACACTATGCTCAAAGAAAAAAACTATGACATAATAAACAATCAACATTCAATATAGTAATCATTTTTTCTGCATTACTCAAAAGTGGCAGTGAATACGCGTAAAATAATTCATCAAACTTTTCTTGTATTCGCAACACAGGACAAACCTTCCACCTAATATTACCATTCATTTATTTATCATCAAGTACTATTTTAACATATTGTAATATATAATATATATTGTAATATGTAATAACATATTGTAATATATATAATTAAAAACATCAGCATATCTGTATGCGAACGCTAAACATACACGACCAATCAAAATTGACATTTAAAATGGAGAAGGCATAAAACAACAAGCTACCATTCCTCGATGTTTTAGAACATGGCAACAATGCCAAATTTAAGACGTCAGTTTGTTTACACAAAGGCCTCAAACATAGGTTTATGCCTAAACGGAAGAAGCGAATGGTGCGAGAAATTCCTGGAAAGTATGATGGCATCGTTGTAAACCGTGCCTATACACATTCATCAGACATAGAAAAGAGAAACAAAAAATCTCCAACCTTCTGAATAAATAACGGCTATAAAAGATCATTAATAAAAAAAGTAATCCAAAGAAAAGAAAACCAAGTAAATAACAACAATCGTAATCAATAGTAAACAATAGTAATTGTATAAAACGGTTTTGACACCTGGCAAGCAACTTCAGATGAAAACTATCGGAATGTGACATATTTGCCGATTCTAACACAGAAAATGTACGTCCAATTTTACAGCTATTTAACAAATTTCTACCAGATATTGCCATTATCCGTGACAATAAGATCGAAGTCCTAGAGTTAACAATATGCCACGAGACAAACCTAGTTTCAGTCGAATATAAACGCCAGAAGTACAAAAACTTAAAATGTAATTCTGAGACTTCAATAATGACCTTAGAGAGTGTTGACTGCTGTGCTGGAAAAATTTTCATTTTTATAGACAAAAACACAATTTTTGGAGATTTAAGAATGTCAAAAGGTAAAGGCATCCGTTCCAATGCGACGTTGTCGATGATGAGTCCTTGTCTGCATTGCTGGAACTTTATCGGGTTGCTTACGGGACTGTCAATATCGGCACAACTTTCGTCACTGGCTGAATAAAATTTTGAAAAGAATTGTGTGCGTGTGTAGATGATGCAATGTGTGAGCGCGTTTTTATATACCTCCAGGCGACATGCAATGCCATTCGCAGCAACGAACTTTTCCCCAAGAAATTTTTTAACACTAATGTAATTTAAAAACAAGAAAAAAGAAAATGAGGAAATGTTATATATGACTGTATGTATGTAAATATGTATATATGTATATATATATATATATGTATATATATATATATATATATATATATATACATATATATATATTTAATGACTCAACTGTTGCCTCATTTAAATTTCTAGTTAGTTAACAGTTGCTAGTTCAATTATATCAAATTCATTGTTGATCCGCAGCGCAAAAAGCGTTACATACAAAATAGTTGAGCTTATTCATTGTGACGAAATTTTCGAAACTTTCATGGAATTAAGAACAATTTTTTATTTTGTCACAAGTTTGGTGAACTTGCAAAATTTACAATCCTAACAAATTTACAATCCTATCACAACACTGTGAATTAAGTAACAAAATTTTGTTGGTTCGAAAAATAATAATAACAAATGTTGATAAAATAAACGCTTATAAAAATTCTGCAATAGAGTTATTTAAAAATGCCTCTGAATCGCCAATTCTTATTGTTATAGACAACTCTGTAGCCCACGATGTTGGGATGGTGTAGTCTGAAAATAGTCATCGGTGGAACTTTAGTATTGATAAACATCGCATGATTTATGAAGCCATTGACTTTTGATTTATTGGGAATGTTGTCAATTTATTAAAAACCACAAACTAAAGTAAAAAAACTTCCTTACATAAACTTATCAATTATTACTAATAAACTTATTAATTCTCTTCACAATTCAAATGTATGCAGCTAATATTCACCAAAACTAATGCGCAGCTTGCAAACACAACGGCCTAGGTCGTCTCTGCGTGTGTCGTTTGTGCGTAGCATAACATTATATTGGCATGTATGTACGCCGTGAGATAAAAACGTTTGAAACATCACGACCGTCATCGTATAAGAAATCTTGAAATAATGCTACATGGTGGAGCGAACACGATATCTTTAAATAATGTTACATGAGGTAGTGGGCAGGATACAAGATATCTTGACAAAATGTTACATGATGGAGTCTGATAAAAGTTGAAAAGCTTTTTAATATGACTTAACAAATGGGAAAAAATAAAAATATTGAAAAGCAGAAAAACCTTCATGATTGATTGAAGGTGAGAAAAACGATGAAAATCGACTAAAATACAATAAAAATGAGAAAACAAACAAAACTCGTCTGTATAATGTGCGTATATTGCAACGTATATTGCAACGTATATTGCAACGTATATTGCAATGTGTAGCAAAAACTAATAAAAAATCAATTAGAAGCTATGACTTGCAATTATCTGCACTTCCAAGCAGGCATCGCATAACATCGCATGCATCTTCTCGTCTGGAAATTATATTAGGCGGCAGTAACATCGGCACGTACTATTAAGAATATATAAAGAGGAGAGCTGACAAAACATGCCTCCTTTCAACAAGACGACTACAAGCACGCATCTCAGCATATAAATAAGTCTGTATCATTCAATTAACGACACTTATCAATATATATCTTTCCAGGCATACAAATGAACGCACATGGATACGTTTGCATGCGTCGACACACGCCTGTGCAGTGCATGCGTACTTCATAATATGCTTGCCTGTTATTGTGTTTGTTGTCCGTGTGCCAATGCTCGCAGACGTCAGTTAGATGAACAGTGCTGAAAGCAAGGTGTCAAATAATTTTGGAAATGAAAATTATGAATTATTAGGTTGAAAAAAATGGAAGCTGACCAGTGTTAATATTGACCAGTCAATCTAAATCGTTGGGTGCGAGAAAGTGATAATGACGGTGCGGTGATGAAATGGTGACGATGATGGTTATGATGCTGTGATGGCGTGAGATGATGGTTTGGTGGTGATGCATGAATGAAGTGGTGATGATGAGTTGGTTAGATGACTAAGTACTGATGACGCAGTGATGATGATGCGGTGAAGATGTGCAATGAAGTGGTGATGCAGTGGTTATGATGATGAAGTGGTGCAGGCGTTTAGTGATATAGTGATGACACAATGGTGATGTGGTGGTGGTGATGATGATGTGATGATGATGTGGTAATCACAAAATGTGGTCATAAAATGACTGCAATTGAATGATAATGATGCTTGCGGGTGATGGTGACAATGTGATAAAGGAATGAGGATGATTATTTGACACTGTTATATGATAACCTTATCATAAAATGATAATAATTACGTGATGACGAAACAAAAGAAAATAATAATTACAGCAAAGATAAAAAGAAAATGTTTATTACATATAATCGATCAAACACCATAAATAAAAAATAAGTAAACACGCACATACATAACCACGCACAGGTAAACACAAGTTTATAAACAATTCAATCTAATTACGAATTAAGATTCAAAACCACTACTACATTTATCGCTATTATTATTAACCTCTGAAATGCATTTAATTTTGCAATTAAGACCTAACCCACCGCACAGACGCGCGTACATAATACATGATATTATTAATTCATAACCAAATGTACGTGTGTTGAGTGCATTAATTGCCGGGAATATTTTGCATCATCCTCTTCCAACTTAATGCCAGCTACCCGATGAACGACTCGTTATCATGTTTCTAAGCACGATAACTTTCCCAAACAAACTATTTTTATTGCTATCACCGATGATGTTTTGTCATTTTTTTTATTGTGTTGCTGTAACCCGCGTTCTTATTATAGACGTAGCTGCCACTGAAGTCGTTATGTCTGTATGCACTGTACGTGCAGTTTCAAAATGTCCATTACACTTTTTTTATCTCATTCCCTTCGATAAAAATAAAAATTAAAATAGAAATTTATCGCCTCAAAGGTATTCTTTTTTATGACGCGCTGCTGCTGCTGTGACGGTTTTATTATTTCTACTGCGAATATTTTTATAAATGTTTTTTACGTTCCCCTATCAGCAACGGTGCCTGCCACGTTGGTCTTCGAACCAGACCGCACCGACTTGTTATTTAGTAACGAATGACGAGTTAGTTAACAGCAAACCAATAATAATGACGATAATGATGGAAATATGAGGATGGCAACGATGAAAATGATGGTGATGTGGACGATGACGATGCATGCGGTGGTGTGATGCTGGTTGTCATGATGAGATGATAATTATGATAAAAATAATGACGATGATGGTGGTGGTGGTGGTGATGAAGATGACGACGACGACGATGATAAAGATAATGATGAATATAATGACGACAATGATAAAAAATAAGACACATATTAAATTTTTATGTTGACAACTGCTTGAATAAACTATCAATATAACATGAATCATAGAAAGTGGTTGAAGACAACAAACATTTTAAAAGATAAACATTAAAAATAACAGCAAAATATGATGAAAATTGATATGAAGAACACACAGATGAAGACAAAGGAGAGGAGAGTCACTGACCTGGTCCATGCCCCGCTGATACAAATAATCCACAAGAAACCACAACTCCTTTGGCACTCCCAATGACTTGTCTGTTTCCTTTGTCTGTTCAACATCGACCAATCAACATCGACCAATCAACATCAACCAATCAACATCAACCAATCAACATCAATCAACCAATAAATTAACATCAGCCAATCAACATCAACCAACCAATATTAATCAATCAACCGAATATTCAATCAATCACGCAAACAACTAACTAATCAATCAACCATATAACAAAATAATCAGCTAATGTAAAATAAAGTTAAATAAATAATAAAAATTAAAATAATAATTGAATAATTAATATGCTAATCATACTTACTTCGAAAACCAAAAAAATATAATTAAAACCAATAAAACTTTAGACTAATTGACCAATCATTTTGCCGACCAACCAATTAACTAACAAATCTTTTAATCTTTTAGCTGAACAATTTTTAACTGACCAATCATGTAACCAACAATTAATTACCGACCAATCATGTAATCAACAATGAATTAACTGACCAATCATGCAACCAACAATTAATTAATTGACCAATCATGTAACTGACCAACCAACCAAAAATTTGTAAATCAACTCACAATGGGTTCTTCACTTCTCGACTTGTTCAGGCCAACAGGCTTCAACATGTGCACAAGTTTCGTAAGCGGCAGGCCAAAAAAACTCGGCAAACAGCTTCCAGATACCGTGATCTGTTTGTCCAGATCCAGTTGTATGTTGGACAGTTGTATGTTAGGCAGTGCCATAGCATACCGTATGTTAAAGTGACAGGCAATATCGAAGAAAATTGCATTGTAATTATGATATTTGTTTGTTGTTGTTAAGAATTTTTTTTTTGATAAAATTCATGAAAACAGAATCAAATAAAACGAACAAACAATATAAGAGAAGTAAATGAAAAAACGAATTAATGAAAAAAAGATACAAAGAAGTCTTTTCCTCCCTCCAGATGCAGAACCAAGATGTCTTCAATCTTGTCTGAACTCCAATCGGGAACTGACTTGGAGTTGATCTGAACCTCCAACTGTATGATGAACTTTTCGCCTGATGATGATGATTGGTGATGACTATGATGGTGGTGGTGATGATGATGTCGGCGTAGTTGGCAACAATTATCATTATTATAATTATTATAATTATAATAATAATAATTATTATTATTATTATATTATATTATTTAATAATTTAAATTCATGTTTAACTTTTGATTATAAAAACTATGATATTATTTTAAAAACATTTAAAATTACTCCGATCGAATTTTTTAATATTATAAATTTAACGTCTATTAAAATTTCATGGTCTAATACACTTATTGACAAATAGATCAACTCTGTAATCAAATCGACATACGCTATATATTGGGACAGAAACATTGTATGACCATTTTAAATTAGCCTCCTATTTGCACTAGTCAAATGATAATGAGTAATAGGGTTTTATCTTATACTTGATTATTTTTTTATTAGTATTTTATCTGGATTTGTATATATATTGAATATTGTATTATTCTGTATGTTTTATGATATTTGAATGAATAAAAGAAGTGTTCCCATTATTATTATTATTATTATTATTATTATTATTATTATTATTATTATTATTATTATTATTATTATTATTAGGAGCTTGGAAACACTGCCAAAAGTATTTTCAAAGTATGCTAAACGAATCTCAGCATAGCAACTACTGCCTGCCACCATGGATTCCGCTGCAAAAACATGCTACATTTTTACTTTCAACACCGATCCCCCAACCTACAATGAAATTGCTTCAATAATTAAAAAATGTAAATCAAAAGCATCTCCTTGTCCTCTGAACCAAATCTCTGTAATAATATTCAAAAGAAGCCCCATTCTACGCCCAATTCTTTACCAACTACTGGTTGAATACTGGAAGTCGTCCTCAATTCCGACGTGCTGGAGGAAAGCCTTCACAAAATTAATCTACAATAAGGGTGATCCTAGTGACCCAGCAAATTTCCGACCGATAACATTACAACCAGCCCTTTATAAAATCTTTTCAACACTCATCAATAACAGAATATAGAGCTACGTAGAAATGAACAACATCATCGACACAACAACTCAAAAAGGTTTTTACCCAAAAATTGACGGTGTGGCGGAACATACTCAGTTGTTGACGCATCTGATAAAAGACGCCAAAAAGCACCAGCGATCAATCATCGTCACTCGTTTGGATCTACGAAATGCGTTCGGTGAGGTTAATCATGCTCTCGTCATATCAGCCTTGAAGTATCACCACGCAAGTGAGTAATCTAATCAAATCAATCTATAATGATTACTCGATAGCAGCATCAACATGCGATAAACTGACACCGTTCATTTAAGTGGGATGAGGAGTGCTTCAGGGTGATCCCCACTGCTGTTCAACCTCTGTTTTAACCCAATAATGAAAGAAATATAAAAAAAAGAGTACCAACAATGCGGTTATTTTTGGGGTCCAACAGTTAATCTAAAATCAAAAGCATTGCTCCAATTTGCAGATGATACCGCAATTATCGCAAACAGCACAGAAGGTGCCCAGACTATGGGTGGTGCAAGTGGACAGGCATGAAGATAAGACCTGATAAATGCTGCACATTCGGAATGAGAAAAAAAGAAGGTCAATATGAACAATTTCGACCCAGATTGACGCTTGATGATGCGTCAATTCCTCAAATAGCTACCAATGATCAGTTTGATCAGTTTACATATCTGGGTAGAAAATGATTTTGAATGTAAAGAGTCGAAAGTAAAAGATCATCTCCATAGTAAGCTGAGAATCATGTTGAACAGAATTGGTCAGTTAGACACCACAGCACAATGGAAGTTACAGATTTTAAAATATTTTGTTCCATCGCAACTCGCATTTAATTTACGACATACCAGTAACATGGATCGAAAAAAAACCTAGACGCAATGATCACGGAGTGATTGTAAGACTGTAAGTGACTGTAAGAGATTGGCTTTTGCTCCCGGTCAGCAGCTGTGTGGCTGAAATTTTATCATTGCCCTACAAAAACGGAGGCCTCAACATTCGATCACTAAAATATCAGGCAGAGTTACTAAGAATGAAACTGCGTGGTGGTCTAAAATTTAATACAAATGACAAAATGAAATGTCTTTGGCTAGAATCATCCAATAGTTACAAAAATATTGACAACAACATTCAAAATGATGATCATCTTTGACAATTCCATCATGTTGGAAAAAAGATTTTACCATTTTAATACTTAATAAGTAATTTAATTAAATTCATATATTCGAACTATACAGTATCTGTTTCGGGAAGCGGCTACAATGATAGGGTTCTCCTCTTGTCTCTGTTCAGATCACTACGTTCTGATATTGCTCTGCTCCATGGAGACACGATCGAAGTACTGGAACTGACAGTCTGCCACGAGTCAAACTTTTCGAAATCAAAAGACTACAAAATATCTAACCCTAACCTCAAAACAACTTGATTGACAATATAAATCACTTAAAAACAATAATTAAAACTTTTGAAATTTCCCGTCATGTTTCTTTAAACATTTTCATTTATCACTTGTCAACTTAAATTGGTCGGATCAATTTTACAATAATTTAATCAACTCGGCAATATTACCGTCATACGCCATGTATTGTGACCGTAACTGCAGTTTAAACTGAATTTGTTTCTCCTTGTACTCATTCATTTTAAATTTTATGAATTACGAGCATTGTAAATTATCTCCATTTTATAATTTTCTATTCTATTTATGTACCTTTTAATTATCGGATATCGTGCTAATTATATCATTTGATTTTACTAATAGATTGTCAGTTTTATTAATTTTAACTCTATTTTATTTTATTCTATTTTACCTGATTCTATTTTATTTTGTTATATTGATAGTTCTTTTTATTGAATAAAAACAGTGTTCACATTATTATTATTATTATTAAAATATGACTCAAGTTCACTCCATATTTTCAATATTAGCTTAGTTGCAGATAGCCAGGAACATAAACAATATGGCTACTCATGAAGACCAACGTCAAGTTTAAATGCCAGATCATTCTAGCAATATGCCGATGGTCTAGCAATCATAGCACACAGTAGTGAGTTGATTCTGAAGCAACGACTTTCACGAGATGGAATCAATTGGAACGCTGGTCGAAAGAACAACAAACCAACAAACCGTTGCAACACACCCTCCCAGATATTGCCCCCGCCGTGTCGGAGCACGCATGAAATCTCATTGATTAAACAAGATTTGGTGCTGTAGGTCGATGAAGAAATGAGGGTTGATAAATTTTAATAGGTTGACCGAAGAAAAGTGATGGCAACTATCAATAATTTTTGAAAAAATTACCGATTGATGATGAACTTATCAAGATTTTAATTATCGGACCAGATTTTATAATTCTGAATGCAAAGACTCAAACGCCAAAAAAAAATTTCACTCAAAGTTTGTGAAACTATTAAAAACAGTTTTAAATTTAGAAGTAAAATTTTGAAAAGCTTATTTTCATCAAAGATAGATTTTGTACACGGCAGCTACAACTTCTCGCTGAACGCAACGTACACGCCTGTATGCACAAAGCCTACACATGTGCGTGTATAACAATGCTGTTGCACATACACGCATATTCTGAACGAAACATTTCTGAATAGATTAAAAAATAATAAATAATCATTCAGGAAAATGCAAGTAAATATTTGAAAGCTACCGATGTGTATGAATCCTTCAGATGGTTGGACTTGCAGCCATGGCTTGCAGAAGTACGCATCTGACGGCTTGTTGATGAACTTGAACTTGACTGGCACCTGTGGAGTGAATTTTAATCACTCTTACAAATCATCTCGCTCAATCACCGACAGTTTAACTGAGTGCTTTGGAACGATTAAAAATTATAACAAAATTAGATAGTTATACTAATAATATTATATTTCAAATGTTTACAACCGTTAAAAATTGCATAATAGTTATAAATATAAATAAACATATAAATTATAAAGAAAGGTTTTTTAAAATAAATGATTGCATCACTACAATGACGATAAAATTATTGACTGAACAGAAATAGAATGACATGTTGAAGAAAGCAGCAGCAAGAAGACTAACTTGACCAATGTTTTCAATGGTCAGCGACTGTTGCTGGCTATCAAGGTATTTCAAATTCTTAAAATATACCTGATTGTATAAAAAATATATTATTAAATAAATAATTTGAAATTAAACATATATACACACAGACACACACACAGACACACCACACACATAACTGTCCATCTGCTAACATCAGTCATGTTGAGTGAAACTTGTGGAAGAAATTCATTCTCCTCCTGGTCAAGCAACTTGATGACACTCTCCCTCACTTGCTTCTCCATTTCTCTTTTGAATTCTTTAGTCTGTTTGTTGCATGATTGCGGGTATTTGTAAACTTGCGAGTGTCTTCATTGATAAACAGACTTTCACAGGCAACGCAAAAAAAACAAGCAAAAGCATCTAAACACAAAAAAAAAAAAAACAAAAAAACAACATTGGCAAGCAAACACCTTCACACAAGACGAACAGACATCATAGGAAAACAGACATATTAAATTGACAAAAAGCCAACAGACCCCGATGATGAAGACGGAGCTCACAGGCTTGTGGTCACTGAGTTTCAACTGCATGTGGCTCCTGTAGCATATCTGGCGAACGTTGTCACCTCTCCAAAGAATCCTGTCACACCAGGCCGGCGTGCGTGCCTTCTCGCTGCTGCAATTGTCATTATTCGCATGTGCGTGCGTGTGTGTGCATGTGTATGTGTGTGTATGTGTGCGTGTATGTGTGTGTACACTGCACAAATGTATATGCACCAATTTAGCATTAATATATCGTGTATCGTGTGATAAAACTACAAAGTTAAACACTTACCTAAATATATTGACCAAAAATTATATTTCGGTAAGAATATAAAATTAATGAACTGTAACTAAATAATAATAATAAAATAACAATAATAATAATAATAATCTGATTACTATTATTACTATTACTATTTTTATTAAAAATAGTAGTAGCAGTAGATATGAAAAAATTAATGAGAATCCTTACGAACCTATCCCACTCATCAGTGCCAGGATCATATTTGAACGTGGGAGGGAATGTAATGGCGCCTTCTTTGAAATCAAAGAAGACTTTTTTTAATATCATCTCTCTACTGAGCTGGTAGTAAAGTGATTTGTTTTATAAATATAATTAAATAAGTAAATATGGCATTTATTCCTTAAATAAAATGCAGTTCTTAAAAACTTCAGCTGGCATCAACTTTACTGATTGAGATGATGCGTGCGTGATAGTTGTGCAATTGCATCAATGAATACAACAGTCACGGCGATTCCTCATGTTCATAACTACCTTTTTCGTTCTTAGGGTAATGAAAAACTGATTTTCAGACATGCCTAGTTACGCTGGATTAGCAAAATGCAAGTTAACAAACAGTTTTGAATTATCAAATTGACAGCTGAAAGAACAACCGACAGCGTCATTCATCGACACAAGAGGCTTACGATGTCCAACAAATCCAACTCTGCTCTATCTTGTTTTCTTGCAATAATGATTGAGCCAAAAACATAAACATGGAATCAAATGTTTAATATATTTTAAACAAAGATAAAAATTTGAAATGTTCCAAAGATATGTTTCTCTAGTTTATGTATGTAACTCACACAACCGATTCATATAAAAGCAATAAACATGCTGAGGTCAGGAGAAATTAATTAAATCTGCAGATTGAAACTTTTCAATTCTCTTATACACTGTGCCCTTCAACGTATCTCAAAAATTTGTTATACTTTATATTAAAAAACGGATGCCGTTGAATGTAAAAAGAAGCAACAAAACGTAGGAGCTGTCTGCAACCTGATCAAAATTCAGAAGATCTTCATAGGCACCTGAGGAACACATCCGCTTCACATCCTCAGTGTCTATGTCACTTATCCGGTAGTTCAAGTCACCAATCCAGAACACTATGCTGAGATTTTTTCATATGTTGATTATTTGTTTGTTTGGTTGATGGATTAAATGGTCAATTGTTTAGTTGGTAGATTGATCGATCGATTGATTGTTTGGTTGGTTAGTTGATTGATTGTTCAATTAATTGGTTGGTTGGTTGATTGTTCAATTAATTGGTTGGTTGGTCAGTTGGTCGATTGGCTGGTTGAGGAATTTTATAAATGTTTGGTTGAATGATTGATTGCTTAATCGGTTGATTAATTGGTTGAAAATTGATCGGTTGATTGTTTGGTTGAGAAATCGATTGGTTGATTATTTTTGGCTAATGTATTGAATGACTGTTTGCTTGACGGATTGAACAGTTCATTGTATAGTTGATGGATTGAATAACCGCATGGTCTAATGAGTAGTTAATTGTTTGACCGACTGAAAGAATAAACGAATTAATGAATTAATGAACCAATCAATGAATCAATGAATCAATTAATTAATTAATTAATGTGCGAACGAATAATGAAATAATAAATTAATTAATGACTGTGGAATATTAAAGAGCAGCAATAAAACTAATAAAAATTAACAAAAATTGCAAACAAACTCGTGTTCCGATATAGAGATGAATTGATTTTTTAGCCGAAAGAACAGACGCGTGTTGATGTCTCTGAAATCCTGAAAAAATTTTAATAATTTTATCTATCCGTCGTCCATTCGTTTATTTGCTCAAAAGTTATGCAAGTCATTCATACGTGGATCATATCATGCATACATAACATACATAACCCATCAACATACATAAGGTGCAACTTTCAGTGCCTACTAAAGAATGTCAACAGAAATTATAATGATAACAATAACAACAATAATAATAAATAATAAATAATAAATGAGATAAACTCAATCAATAACTACGCTAGACAATTTGGCAATTGCCCCCCCCCCCAGAAATATAAAAAAATTATTAAACGATTCTGTCAAGTGTCAAAATCAAGTTTCTGCAGAGTAACCAGTGGTGTCACAAACGTTGTTCAAAAATAATTGGTACTTTATCTAAAGTGTCCAATTTTGTTTGTCCTGCTTGCATCAATCCTCAACAACAAATTCGAAATAGCACTGTTTTTGAAGCCATTAAGGTTGAGAAAGTCACATCGTTTCAATATTTAGGGGATGTTCTGGATTGTACTGGAACAGCTGAAGCTGCCGTTCGAGCACGCATAAGTGCAGCTTGGAATAAATGGCATCTCCTTGCCTCTATATTGATGCGGCGTGACATCCCACTACCACTACGATCAAGACTTTATAAATCTGTGATACGTCCGGTGTTGTTATATGGTGCAGAAACATGGCCAATGACAACCAAACTGGAACAACAACTTCAACGAACCGACATGAAAATGCTCCGATGGATGCAACGAATTAGTCTGAAGGACCATATCAAATCTACCGAAATCCTGCGTCGGGCTGGTGTAGATGATATAAGAGACGAATCCCGGCAACACCGTCTGCGGTGGTTTGGTCATGTCAAACGAAGTGGAAACAGTGCCATAACTTCTCTTGCAGATGTTGAAGTACCTGGCCCATGTCCCAAAGGCCGTCCAAAAAAGTCCTGGTCGCAAACAATCGAGCAAGACATGAAAGCTCTAAATTTAAATGAAATGGATACAACTGATCGTCTAATTTGGCGCAAAAAGTTGATGGCAAAGAAAACAACGTCCTACCTCGGGAAACTGGGTCTATGGACGCAAAACGAAAATTGATGATTAAACGATTCTGTCAAAAGTGAAAGAATTAGTTTAAAATATTGTAATATGAATTTATTAAAAACAACGGTTTTTTGTAACTATCACAAACGTACTTTCGTTGTAGTTATAAAGATCTTGGCAGGTTGGGTAAGTATAGTATTAATTGATTATCTTTCAAAATTTTCAAGACGCAAGTAACGCTGAAAAACATACAAAATTAAAAAATATTTACACTGAAGCTTTTGAAAACCTATCCAAGATCACAAACGTAAATATCAGCCGTAAAAATTATGGAAATATTTTGAATCTTTTTTTAAATTCAGATTCTTCCATTTTTAATTTGAACATTTACTTCATTTGAGCATTATTTACTTTACCTTGGAAAGTTATTGATGTTTTAAAATAATAAATAATCATATATTTGTAATATTTTTTTTAGTTTATTTAAATTTAAGATATGCATGTTTTTTGGCGAATAATTTAACATTATTAAATTTTATCAAAATTCTCATGTCAGCGAAACAGTCTACTCTGATTAACTTTTTCTCAAAAAAAACGAAGATTGGATGATGACGTAGTTAATAAATTTGAAGTCAGTACACGGTTCTCAACAACAGATAAAAACTTCAGAATTATCTTTGGTAACTAGACAACAATTGCAACAGGCAGAATTAACAGATACAATTAATCAGTTTTTGAATTCAGCTTCTTCTTAATATGATGTTGGTTTTTATGTTGATAAAAAACAACTGACGAAGAAAAATATATTAACAAATAATTGGTGTGCGGATAAATATTACGTTTTTCCAGTGGTTAATCAAGGTGAAACTACAAGACGTTTTAAGAATGCTTACCTAAATGAATTCAGACCTTGGTTGGCATGGAGTCATGTCCACCAAAGAGCGTATTTATTGTGTTCTTTTTACACCTATAGATGTCGGCAAAGGGAATCATATAACTCCTGAAATAATCGTCACTAAACCATTGAACAAATATAAGGATGTGAAAACAGACTGCAGTTCTTATGCAGAAAAAAATGCCAAATAATGATTGTAAACCCAATTCATAAGATACTTCAAACTTTCTAGTAATCTATGTGATTTCTTATATATCTCTAACCTTCTAATTAGAACACAGGTATCTAAGAAATATGGGTATATATAGAATCTGGGTTCTTTTCTTGTGTAACTGTTTTTTTTTATTTATTGTTTTTTCCGTAATAAAGTATCATCAGAACTGTGTAAAAATTTCAGAAAATATTTTGAGGCATTATGAGCAAATGTCTAGTGGTATTGAAAAGCAATCTTATAATGGGTGGCAAAAGCATGTTGAAGAAAACCGCAGACGGTTAATACCTATTGTAAAAACAGTGCATCATTGTGGAAAGCAAGGATTTGCTTTACGTGGTCATCGCGATTCAGGATCACTTTTCAGCGAAGAACCAGATGAGAACGATGGACATTTCAGAGCATGCCTAAGCTACGTTAATTAGTTGGCGATGAAAATCTAAAATGGCATTTGCAAACAACTTCAAGCTCCCAAACCTATCTAAGTTGGAAAATACAAAATGAAAGGAACATTTGTGTACATAAAAGAAACAGTTCCCGCCGCGGAGCAAAAGTTCACAATAGCATCTATCAGATTTAAATTCCAGACTCCAAGGGAAAGGTCGTTTGATCCATGAAAGGAGTGAAAGGAAAGGGTCGTCCGCGATTGGGATGGAGAGAGCAGGTGGAGAAGGAGAGAGTGAAAGCGGGGTTGCGTGATACTGAAGCGAGTGACATATGGGGATAGCTGTCGAGGGGTATTTCGGTTTCATCATAGGTAGCCAAACGGCAACCCCCGATCTCGGGGAAAATGTCGTCTAAACGTGTGCTGTTGTTATATAGAACACAAATACAAAAAATTAATTTATTTTTCTCAATTAATAATTAATTTGTTAATGAACATATACAAATTAATTTATTTTTTAAATGAGGAAATTGAAAATTTTGCATTTTTGCACCATTTGTCAATGTTAGGCAGCTGTATTTGAAGCTAACTAGTCAGATGTTAATCTGTCAGCTGACTTGTGTATCTTTATTGTGAATTTCATTTGGGAAAAAACTTTTCACAGCAGTGTGTGGTTCCAAAAAGTGATATTTTTTGCATGTTGGACCTAATTTGGAAATTTTTTTCGAAATAATTTTTATAAAAAATCACCAAATCATTTTTATCATATGCTGATTTCATTAGCATATTATTCTTCAAATCTCTGAATTCCAATTGATAACAATCCGGAGAAACTTCAGTAGTCATATCAAATGGCTGATAAATAATTTTAAATCACATTCAAATTTTCCAAAATCTAAGTTTCAAAAAGATAAATTCAGTATGCAATATTCTTGAATTTGATCTGAATATTTTGTAAAATCAAGATTTAGCCATTTAATAATAATTTTTTTTAATTTTAATAATAATTTTATTTTATTTCAAACAAAACATTGCGAAATAAAAAAGGTTCCAATTAGTACAAGTACTTTTAACATATTGGTCCTACTCTTATCAAATCATAATATATCAAAAAATCACAATATCAGAAAAGAAAAAAAGAATAGAACCATAAAATTAAATGTTAAATTCTCAATAATCAAATAATAAAAAAAGAACAAATTTACAAAATGAACTTAGAGATAAGTTATGATCGGGAAACAAAATAAGTTTTCAGATTTTTTTAAATTCAACATACTTATCAATCTGTCTCAAATATGTCAGTAGATCTTTCTAGATAAAAGGTGCGTAAAAAAGAATAAGCGATCACTTATCATATTTAAATTAAAGTTAAATGACTTTTTATTATTAATTCTTTATTTAGCCTGATAAAAGCAGCATGTTTTGTCTGAATCATCTTTTGAATTACAGGATGGATTTCAAAACTTTTTTCAATATTTTAAAAATTAGGATACATTTAAACATGTATATTCATTTATTAAATAGTAAAAAATAGATTGTCTGATCAATAAGATTACAGAAATAATAACGTTAACTGAGATTGAAACTTAATTTCTAATGCCAATATTGTTGATTGCCAAAGCATAGGAACCATAATTTAGGAATATTTATTTTATTTATTTATATATTTAACAACTGACCAGAGGGCATCAAGATGTCTCTTACCCAGTCAGAAAAAATGAACTAAATTCAACATAAATGGCAAAGCAAAAAAAGAAAATATTATATTAAAAAAGATTGATGATACCACTTATCATAATTTCTTTCTAATATGTCAGTGTTTGATTAATCTAATGAATCTAAACTTGAAAGTAATCCCGACCCTTTCATCCCTTCTCAGCCCTCTGCAGTACACTTTCCTCCTCCCTCCTCAACACCCAAGTTTCACCACCCTATACTATCGCTGCTCTCACACATGCTTTATATACCCTCCCTTTCATCTTCACTTCCTCAACGCCTATTCAATGACCTTCCTCGGTACTCGATCAAAAGCCTTTTCTATATCCACAAAACACATGTACAATCTTCGTTTCTTCTTTCTATAATTCTCCTGCAACATTCTCACTATGAACCACGCATACACCGTTCCCCTACCAGGCATAAACCCACACTGCATTTCATTAACTGTCACCATATTTCTCAACCTCATCTCAAGCACCCTTTCCACTACCTTCATTCCGTGCTCTAGCAATTTCACACCCCTATATGACCCACAATCTCTCACATCTCCTTTGCCCTTAAACAACGGCACCAACACACTGTGTCGCCAATCCTCAGGTATACCTTCATCATTAAACATACTGTTAGCAATTCTCATCATAACTTCAATTCCTATCACCTCATTCACCTTTATATGTTCTGCCGCCACTTCCGAAACTCCTGTCGTCTTACCTAGTTTCATTTCTCTAACTGCTTTCTCTACTTCCTCCATCGTCACCTTCTCTATAGGTCCGTGTGTGACCGAAGATTCCACATCTCCATCCCACTCATTCTTTTCATTCATCAACCTTTCCATATGAGCTTTCCACACCTGAGCTTTTTCCTCCTCATCTATGCACAACTTGCCAGATCCATCCCAAACATATCCATTCCCTGAAACATCTTTCCTATCCCTCATTGACTGCTTTGCTACTTTGAACATTTTCCTCGAACTCAAATTCCATTTCCTTCATTAACCTATCTGATGCTTTCGTCATTGCAGTTGCCACTGCCCGTTTTGCCACCTTCTTAGCCTTCCTATACTCAGACTCCGCTTCCCCCGCCATGTTCCTTCTCCACACCCTAAACCTCTCCTTCTTGACCTCCAAAACCTTTCTTATATCTTCATCCCACCACCATGTCTCACCATGCCTACACTTTCCTTTCGTCCATCTACATACTTTATCTGCCGTAGCCAACACACAGTCCCTATATCTCTCCTAAATATCTCCATCCTTACTACTCTCCCAACATTCAGCCACCTTCACTTCAAATGCCTTCCTCATCTCTGCATCCTGTAACTTCCATGTCTTTTTCTTTGCCACACACTTATCCTTCTTCCTTTTCCCCATTTCTTTTGATGCCACATCCATCACAGCCATACTATGCAGCAACATACCAGGTATCGCCTTGACATTCCTTACATACTTTCTATGCTTCGCCCTTACCAATATATAATCTATCATTGACCTATGCTTCCCTGACCTATATGTAATTAATCGTGCTGGTTCCCTTGCAAACCAGGTATTCCCCACCACCATGCTATGTGCATCTGCCAACTCCAACACTCTACGCCCTTCCTCATTCCGTATACCATATTCCCATCCCCCATGTACATTTTCATATCCGTCTGCATACGCCCCCACATGACCATTCAAATCACCCAACAACACCACAAACTCATCCAACCCCGCTTGCCCCGCAATCTCGTCAGAAACATCATCATAAAACCTATCCTTCTCCTCTTCCTTCCTACTTTGTTGCGGAGTATATCCTGATATCACCCTCACTATTACTTTTCCAAACACCATCACCACCACAATTACATCATTGCTTCTCCGCTTCACTTCCAGCACCTTCTCCACCAACTCTTCTCTTACCATCACACCAACTCCTCCCGTACCATCATCCCCCTTGCACCACAACTTATATCTTCCACTTTTAACCCTCACAAACCTTGTACCCTCACCCTTCCATCTGATCTCCTGTAATGCAGCCACGTCAACCATTCTCCTCTGCAGCTCCTCCACCACTTCCAAACTTCTTCCTGTCAACGTGCCTACATTCCAGGTACCAAACCTCCAACCCCTTGGTCTACAAGTAGTCCTTCCATCTATAGTGCCTTGCACCGCCACACTATAGAGTGGGGTGCCAGTAGCCAGACCATCCACAGGGCCTTGCACCACAACCCCATGGACTGGGTCTCCGGAGATTTTTCGCACCCTGAGGGCCATTGTTATTTCCGTCATCATAAGTATTATTTTTTGGCTAGTTTTTACGCAGGACGCCCTTCCTTACGCAACCACAGTTATAAGCGGTGGGCCTAGCATTTGATGATCCAACATCACTCACAAGGCAGTGAGGGTTAGTTTTTTGTTGTTATATATATATTATAAATTAATTATAATAATAAATAATTATAATAATAATAAAAATAAATTAATTTGTATATGTTCATTGATGAATTAATTATTAATTGATAAAAATAAATTAATTTTTTGTATTTGTGTTCTATATATTTGTAATATGTGATTTTACATGCACTAAAATATTTAAAATATGCTCTCATTTTTACAATTGTCACTGGTAATGATGTTGCCTTGCACCGCCACACTATAGAGTGGGGTGCCAGTAGCCAGACCATCCACAGGACTTTGCACCGCAACCCTATGGACTGGGTCTCCGGACATTCTTCGCACCCTCTTCTGCCGGTTACTGAGAGCCATTGTTACTTTTGTCATCATAAAATATTTTTATTGGCTAATTTTTACGCAGAACGCCCTTCCTTACGCAACCAAAGTTATAAGCGGTGGGCCTAGCCTTTGATGATCCAACATCACTCACAAAGCAGTGAAGGTCAGTTTTTTGTTGTTATATATATATTATAAATTAATTATAATAATAAATAATTGTAATAATAATAAAAATAAATTAATTTGTATATGTTCATTGATGAATTAATTATTAATTGATAAAAATAAATTAATTTTTTGTATTTGTGTTCTATATATTTGTAATATGTGATTTTACATGCACTAAAATATTTAAAATATGCTCTCATTTTTACAATTTTCACTGGTAATCATTACAAGAAAACCATATTTTCTTTTCGATTTCCAGATAATTTCTTTTCATTGATATCATTTCTTTGATTTCTTTGTTTTGATTTGATGAAATAAAAAATGTCAAATGTCAAATATATATATATATATATATATATATATATATATATATATATATATATATATATATATATATATATATATATATATCAAAAAAGCAATCTTTTAAGGAGACCTTCTCACCTTTGTTGTTCTGTATATTCCCACTTACTGAAACTCTTAACAAGCAGAAGTTGATAACAATAATTAATTAATTAATAATTATTGTTATGACAGGTGGTACAGGCAAAGTACGATAGAAATTTAATTTGTATACAATATGTTACCCAACATTAACAAAATTGCAACAAATTTTAGAAAATTTAAGAGATTTTGTTAAAAAACAACAGTAAAAGTTGGAAATTTTTTCATGAAATGTATTTCCTTTTTAATGAAATATTTTAATTTTGTATAAAACACCTTTGTTGAAGATGTTTACGGTTTACCAAATTTTACGTTATATGATGAAGTAGTTTGACCTCTATGCAAAATGAACCCATTTTCGCGATGAACCCAAGTTTGAAACGCCGAGTCAGTTCCTAATTTAAAGTTTCTATGATATGTACAGATGAATAGATAGTGACAAAAAAAGAACAAATAAAAGAACAGACGAGCAGACAAATCGATAAATGCAGCAGCAACCTGATTTCTCCTCTCACACTCCTCAGTATGTGCAGCCAGATGTGAGTTGATGAAGCAGACGCTGGTCTCTCGAAGTTTGAACCTCACTGCTACCCCACCCTTGTTACCCTGGTAATGATGATGATAAAGATGGTGATGGCGGTGATGATGGTAATGATGATGCAGGTGATTATGGCGACGACGATGATGATGACGACAGGAAATAATTGGGATAAAAATGGAATAATAAAAAAAAGAAAGCAGAACCCATTCACAATCACGCATATAACAATCAATCATGTGATTAACTGCTGATCGTTACATGATTTTATGTTAACTGAATGGTTGAACTGCTGGGAGATCGATAAGATTGTTGCAGATTGCACTAATAATAATAATATCGTCAATATCACCATTACCATCAACGCCACATCATTTTCACTATTAGCATCGTCCGTCCGTTCATCCGTCCGTCCGTCCATCCGTCCATCCATCCATCCGTCCGTCATTCCATCCATCCATTCGTTCGTTCGTCCGTCCGTCCATCCATCCATCCATCCCTCCATCTGACCATGGTGCCAAAGAATCCAGTGCCCACACTTTCAAAACAGATGTCTCTGAGGTGTCTCTCGACTGAATCGCGCACGTACACAACTAACATTATGGCCACCAGCCTGACGCAACGAACCTACAAAAAGTAATAAAGGATGAAGATGACGATGATGAAGACGGTGATTATGACAATGAAGATGACGATGATGCTGATGACGTAAATAGTTAAAAGAGACACATAAAACATTAACTTGAAAACGAGGACTTTTGTTGCCGCGAATATTCATCAAGCCATCAAAACAACCACCAACAACCACAATCAACTACAATCAACCACTATCAACCACAATCAACAAATCCGCCAGCCAATCAGCAATCAGTGAATGAACGATCAAGTAATTATTGAACCAACGAGTTTGTAATGGGCCTTTTTATGGAGAGCTGATTGAAATTTGAAAAGCCATTCATCCTCCTTAGCCGACTCCGTGAATATGTAGACGTTTTTGCTAAGATCCATTTCTTGGAGACTGTGCAATTATTAATGTAAGTAAGTAATGTTAAAGTACATGTTCAATATTATAAATATTTTGAATAAGATTGTACAAAACAAACTGCAAACAACGTTAATGAATGTTTAACTTGTATTTCAAAGTTGAACCAGCTAATTAATGAACAACCAGCTGATGAACCAATCAACTAATGAAGTAACCAGCTGATGAACTAATCAACTAATGAACCAACCAGCTGATGAAGCAACCAATTAATGAACCAACCAGCTAATAAACCAACTAATTAATGAACCAACCAGCTGATGAACCATTCAGCCGGTGAACCAGCCAGCTGATGAACCAAGCCACCCACCAACCCGAGAACATAAACATCGGGAGGATCATCATCCTTTTGTGGTGACAGCCATTCATTCAAATCTGCTGCCACCGGCTGTCCGTTAACATTCCACGTACCACAAAATATTCTGTTGTGAAGCAATCACGTGGATTGTCAATAAAAGAAAAATTCGTTGAGAATGATGTAGTTTTCATTGTTGCAATCGTTGTTGATGCAGTTGCTAGTTAGTGTTATTATTGTATCAATTGTTGATGATGTTGTTGCTGATGTTGTGGCAGCTATTTATATAGATAATGATGATGTCTTTTGTTACATATGATGTTGTTGTGCCTGCTGTTTACGTTGTTAATGATGTTGTTGTTGTAGCTGTACTTTCTGTTTGAATTGTTAATGATGTTAATGTTGATGCTGCGTAATATTTGCTAAAGTTGTTGCAGTTTGAGAAATAGCAGTTGTTGCTATCCCAAAGTTTAGCACATATGATCACAATATTTTTAAAATTGTATTTATTTAAAGAAACAAATGCTAAAAAACATCAAAATCATTCAACACGACCAGCAAAAAAACATCAACAACATCAACATACAAAACAACAACAACAAATGATCAACAAATCACAAAACAGCATCAATTGCAAAAGCGACCACTGAAATCATAACATAATCATTAATTAATTTCCTCAGAGCATCAATTTCAACATGAACAACAGCAACACCAACAGCAACTGCAACAGCAACAGCAGCATAAACGACAACAACAACTAATACTACAGTAACAACAACAACCGATAATTGTGCAGTCGTGTGTACTCTGCCTCTCTCTCCTTCATCAGCAATTGAGCGATGGCTTCCCTAGAGCCTGGCCTATGCTTCGTGTGGAAAATTGGAGGATCAGTGATTGATGCAGACGACGAGTTGTTGGGAATTCCGTTGTTGTTGTTGTTGATGAAGTTGTTGTAAAGGTTGTCGCGACTCGAACTACGTCTGATATAAATTATTACTATTATTATTTATTATTATTATTGTTATTATTAATCTGTTGGCATTCCTCAGATGTTGAGTTATGATTGAATGCTTAGATGGAATGATCTAAAAATATCATATACACAGAAGTTATTATGATCATCAGTTTCATTCTCATTGCTACTACTATTATAATTAACATCATTATTAAATAAATATTTGTAAGCGCTTTTAAAAAATATCAAAAGCGTTGTTGTTGTTGTTTTTGTTGTTGCCATGGCTGCAAGATAATCATCACATTCGTGACAACATGTCAAGAACAATCCACATCATCATCTAGATTTAATCAATAGGGCAAAAACATTTGCATCAAAGTGAGTGCACCTGCACTTGTTTTGAATATTCATAACAAACAAACTAGGTGAAAACATTGTCACACAAAAATCAAAATATAGGTAGAGCAGTAGCGATAAGATAGCAACAATGATAATAATAAAATAAGCATCACGTAGAGAATGACTAACGATTTAATTAGTTTTGATGATGTCTTAGGAGAAATTTTGTTGTTGCAGATGCTGCTGATGTTGCTGTTGTTGTTGCAATTATTGACGTTACCTATGTCGTTGCTAGTGTTGCTGTTAAGTAAGTTGTCGTTGGATTTGTTGCCTTTCAGCTTCAAACTGCTGTTTGATGACTGGTTACTTACGAGGCTGCTGTGGACCATGTTGTCTCCTAAAAACCAACATACAACGATTACATGCACAGGTTAACAAGTACTTTCATCTCACGGTATTTTAAGGCTATTTTATATAGCTTATATAGTAGTAGACCTTTTTTCAAGAACTCAAATTTTTGAAAAACATAATTTAAAAAAAACAGTGCTTTTTGTAAAAATTTGACATCTCCGATAAGGTTATTTAATTAATTCTGAATGAAACATCGAGGACTCCATGATAATCTTTCCTTTATTAGGATCAAAAAATTGACCAAAAGCAACTCGTCTTTGAATAGCTCTGGCAGTCGGTCAAACGAGGATCTAGCAGACTAAATCAAGAAAAATTCAATTTGATTTTTCTTCTGTTGGATTGAATACTACAATATTTACCAAAAAATGACAATCCTTAATTTTATGAAATCTTTTCTAATCGACAGTTTGCGCAATTTTCGATAAATTAATTCTTGCAATTCGTTGTCATAAATGCTTATTAATCACAACAAAACAAGCGAGATGACCATCAACAGCTTTTCAGCTTACTTCAATTGATTGTTCTTCAAGTCGCTACTATTTAACCTCTTTTTTCAGATCTTATCATCCTAATTGATATTTATTTATTATAGTCATTACCTCATCAAAATTAGGGTAAATATATGAGCAATCAATTTGTGATGTCATATTTATATGAATGAATGTGTAAAAGTTCCTTGTATGAATGTTGTATTTGTATGAGTGAATGTACGAAAGTTCCTCGTACGAATAGACGTCCTGACCGACATATTTTCTCTTATATATTTAGTCTGTCTTATTTATATTTGATGTGACTAATCTTATTGTTGTTTAATGCCATGCATGCTGCTGTTGTAATATTCTCAGCGTCTGACAGAGTTAGATTTTTACAAAATAAAAAAAAATCAACAGGATCATCATTATCATCAACATTATCATCATCGCTATCACCAACATGATCATCACCATCATGACTCACGGACAACAGGGCAGGGCTGTCCAACGTTCAACCCCATGATGTCAGTGAAGGGCCAATCTAGATTTCAATTCATGTACGCGTAATAGTCTGACTCATTGATGGCGCATCATCATCATCAACACCCTCATTCATCATCATCGCCATCATCATCATCATCATCAACACCCTCGTTCATCATCATCAACAACCTCATTCATCATCATTGACATCATCATCATTATTATCACCATCGTCAGCAACACCATCGTCATCCTAATCATCATTGCTATTAAAGTTATAATTGTTATCATTGTAATTGTTTTTAATATCAATTACTAACAATTACTATCACCATTGTTTTACTATTATCATCTCCGCCATTTTTTATCATCCATAAAAATGAATATTTAAATTTTTTTAAAAAGCATCAATTCCAGTCGCGAAGAAATGTTCGAATGTCAGACGATTAGACAATCAATCCTATAAAACGAAATTAGACAATCAATCCTATAAAACGAAATCCTTTTATTTCAACTCACGCATACGCATGAAATAAAAGTAAAAAGTAATATTCTACAACAGTCTGCAATAATTCTTGTTACGTTATGTTATTTAAATAAATTCTAGATGACAGTTCCATCATATCTCGCTATTTTCCTTGTGCGCAAACATGATTCAAACGCAAAACTCCAAACGTGCATTAGCCTCTTGCTTGCAATGCAGTACACATATGCGCGTACAGCTACTAATGGTAAGTATGATGTGCTGTGTGAATGCAGAAATGCATAATAAAAGACATAAACTCAACCTATCAACAATAAAAAAACACAATCAATCAACTATAAAAACAAAAAACTAACCATCAACTAAACAACAAATACAATCCACAGACAAATGGGCAAACCTTTTTGACTGAGTGCATCAACGACTTCGGTATCTTCAAACTGGATGAGACTTCCTGTGAATCCACTGCTGATGTTGTTGTTGCTGCTGCTGTTGTTGGCAGAATTCACAGACTGGGAAAAATCCGCTGATTTGATTTTGAAAGAGTTGGATGAAGGATTCGTGTACTTTTCAATCCATTTAAAAGATGGACTCGCAAAAACGGCATTCTGGGAGTGGACTGGAAGTTGATGTTGGAAACTCAGCAATTTTTAAAAACATATTTTTAATGTTTGTAATATCTTCCTTAATAAAAACGTTGAAATTTGTAACGTTGTCTATCAACCCCACATTCAATCAGTCATCCAGCCTAATCCTTCAAGAGGCAGTTGAGGCTGAAGCCATCCACTTTGCTCAATGGCCCCCAAATACTTTTTCACATTTGGCCATACTCGTTGAGTACAGCATTATCAGTCACCTACTGATGTCTTCGAACCATTTCTTGGCATGTTTTCCAGCTTTCTTCTTCCAGTTTCTCTTTAGTTCTCATTAGTTTATTTTTAATTAACCTGTATCTGGTACTCTGTTAAGGTCTAATAAATATCAGCTTCTATGCTTTATGGCTATTCATGCTAGTTTCTTATTATTTCATTTTTAATTTTCAATTCAAGCCATTAAAATAGAAAAAGTCACATCGTTTCAATATTTAGGGGATGTTCTGGATTGTACTGGAACAGCTGGAGCTGCCGTTCGAGCACGCATATGTGCAGCCTGGAATAAATGGCATCTCCTTGCTTCTATATTGATGCGGCGTGACATCCCACTACCACTACGATCAAGACTTTATAAATCTGTGATACGTCCGGTGTTGTTATATGGTGCAGAAACATGGCCAATGACAACCAAACTGGAACAACAACTTCAACGAACCGACATGAAAATGCTCCGATGGATGCAACGAATTAGTCTGAAGGACCATATCAAATCTACCGAAATCCTGCGTCGGGCTGGTGTAGATGATATAAGAGACGAATCCCGGCAACACCGTCTGCGGTGGTTTGGTCATGTCAAACGAAGTGAAAACAGTGCCATAACTTCTCTTGCAGATGTTGAAGTACCTGGCCCAGGTCCCAAAGGCCGTCCAAAAAAGTCCTGGTCGCAAACAATCGAGCAAGACATGAAAGCTCTAAATTTAAATAAAATGGATACAACTGATCGTCTAATTTGGCGCAAAAAGTTGATGGCAAAGAAAACAACGTCCTACCTCGGGAAACCGGGTCTCTGAACGCAAAACGAAGATCGATAATCACCAACTGATTCCCAGCAACGTTCTGCAACAATCCATTTCATATGCACTCCATTTTAAATGCACTCCATGTTATATGCACTCCATTTTAAACAGGGCTTTGAAGCGGAGCTAGACAGGAGCACGGAGCAATCGGAGCAACGATATTTTATTTGGACCGTGAGCGGAGCCAAAGTACAAAAATTTTGAGTGCTCCATGCTCCAATAATAAAAAATATTAAATTGAAAAAGAAAAAAATATTAATTTATGAATTTTAATATTTTATAATTCAAAAAATTTATCATTTAAAATTGTTGATATCTAGAATCTTTCACGACAACGTGAATTTTAATATTTTATAATTCAAAAATTCATCATTTAAAATTGTTGATATCTAGAATCTTTCACGACAACGGCTCCCTTTCATAACTCTACCAATAAAACAATAAAAAACTTCTTTTTTTGTCAACTGGCTTCAAAGTACACACCCGCCTCGGAACGCGGGTTCGAGCAAGGAACGGAGCCAAGTTTTTTATGCTAGAGCGGAGCTGGAGCGGAGCAACTCAAAAAAGTGCTTGCTCCAAAGCCCTGATTTTAAATGCAATCAATGCATGATGTCAATGATGGGACTGAATGAGGACATTGTGACATTGATAAGGAGATCGAGATTGCGATGGTATGGACATGTGTTGAGAAGGGATGAAAGGGTCGGGATTAGGCGAGCGTTGGAGTTCGAGGTTGAAGGAGTGGTAGGAAGGGGTCGTCCGCGATTGGGATGGAGAGAGCAGGTGGGGAAGGACAGGGTGAAAGCGGGGTTGCGTGATACAGAGGCGAGTGACAGATGTGGATGGCGTCGAGGGGTATTTCGGTTTCATCATAGGTAGCCAAACGGCAACCCCCGATCTCGGGGAAAATGCCGTCTAAACGTGTGTTGTTTGTTTGTTCTTTTCGCTTAAGTTCACCGACTGGTCAACTTACTCCAGATTTTGTTTTTCAGAAGCAATATGAAAATTTACTGTCCTGGGCATGACATAAAACTGCATCCACGCTGCCTTGCGTGCCTTTGAGCAAAAGGCTAGGCCCACCGCTTATAAATGGTGGTAGTCGTCAAGATGGGTGTCCGGATGTATAAACTTTTCCCCAAATTTTTCTATGCCGCAAAAAACAAAAAATTGATGGCCAAGAAAACAACGTCCTACCTCGGGGAACTGGGTCTCTGGACGCTAATCGAAGATTGATACTGATTGATTGAATATAAAAATTTAAGCAGCCTCCATTTAGTTTTGTTCTTGTTGATGCGATCCATAATTTTTAAAGCCGCCAAGTGCCATCCCAACCAGTGCCATCTGCAGACCATATGCACTGGATGCTAGTAAGCTGAGCAAATTTGAGATTCTCTACAGTACTGTCTTCAACATCAGTTATACCCAAAAATTACAGTTACATCCACGATTTACATATACATGTTTTTAAATGAACGGTCTAATTTTTTCAACTAATCAATTCAATGCATCTATTTAATAATGTTACTCATTAATTAGTTCATATTTGAAAATGACCTTCCTGGTCTTAAATGTTATTGAATTTAGAAGTAAAAAACAAAAAAATAACAAAAAACAAAAAACAAAAGTAACAAATGTTTTTATTTTGAAGGCCCTGCAGTTACACCCTACACAATCTGTTCAGGCAAATGCCGTTGACAACCTCGCACTAATCTTCAAGCAGAAAAACGAATAGAGTTTGTATTAAGTACTCACTGTACTACCCAACATAAAAAGAAAAAAGTTTCGTACATTCAAAATGTAGATAACAAATGCACATAATGAATGTTGAAAGGTGCTACTTTTTCTGGCTCGCTCCAGTTCAGATGTCAGTGACGGCAGTTGCTCGGATGAGTTGACATGAAATGTGAAGCTCTGCCCATCATTGCAGCACATAATACATGCTGCATCTGATATTTAGATGTTTAAAAAAATAAAACATTAATTCAAAGTAATGTTTAATTTCATAAATATGTATTAATATTATTTGAAGTTAAATTTATGCATTCATTCTAAAATTCATTCATCAACCAACTCATGAGTTTGTTCATCCCATCCATCCAGCAACCCCACTAACTAATCAAGGAATATTTAAAGTTGAGATCAATTTCAAGTATTTTCAGTAGCTGATAATTTTCTAGCTGTTCCACCAGGCTCGGCTTCTCCAGAAAGTACAAAAAAAGGCTTTAAAAGGAAATTCAATCGAGGAATTGTAATACTTTTTTAAAATTAATTATTGACGAAAAACAATTAAACAAAAAAATTATTACTGCCAGCCGAAGATGTATGACGTTGTTCAACTCAATAATGATAATCAATAACAATTACACAAAACAACGCAAATAAATGAATGGATGCATGCACTGTGAACGAAACAATAACGAATAATAACCTAACAAAGTAACAACAAGGAACCAACCACAGAATTATTAACCAAGCAAAGCATTAACAGGAACATTATGAAGCATTGAAAAGTCACATGACATGCTCATAGAAAACATCATTAATTTTATCAGCACAGATATTACATATATCTAATTATACTTCTTATTTACAATTGTTATGGTTCAATTCAGTTATAAAATAGCACTTAGTCAGCAGACCAGTAAGGAAAATAACTTCAAAAATAATGTAACCATTATTTCGTTTTTATAAGAATTGGATATCCCTTGATAAATTTTTCATCAAGAAAATGTTTATCATTTTGGTTATGAATTATCATTAGATTAGTCAAAATTATTTTATTTAAATGGTTATCAAAATATTCTTGTTCCATTTACATCAAGTAATATTTACAGGATAATTTTTTCCTACCAATATTGTTATGAAAAATCAGCAAGTCAAAGAATAATAATTTAATTCATTATAACATTATAATTGAGCTATTTCATTTGAAACATTAAAAACGTTAACTACTTAAAAATATAATAAATTAATAAAATCAAATTAGTGCATTTTAATAATCAAATATTTAAAAATAATGATCAAAAAAGTAAAAATTCGCCTAATGTGATCTAACAAACCAACCAATCAATCATTATCAAATGACAAAATATTCCAACTAATCAGCTAACTACAAATGTCACAACATCAACAAATAAAAAGAGTGGCAAAATCCTAGAAAAGTGTCTGCAATGCGAGAGAAGCTTGAACAAGTAAGTGCACATGATTAAAAAGCATACTCTTCTTATACACATAAATTTTATTCTAAAAAAAAACCTAACCTAACCCTATCACATTTTTTATGCAAATTATAACAACTTATTTATGTGTTAATAACTCTTCTTATACACATAAATTTTATTCTAAAAAAAAACCTAACCTAACCCTATCACATTTTTTATGCAAATTATAACAACTTATTTATGTGTTAATAATTTGTTTGCAATTCAATTGCAGGCACTGTTCTAGGATTATGCTGAAAGAGCTAGTCAGGCAAGTTACTGACCAATGTCCATCCAAGTTTTCGACGAGAGCCAATACGCCAGGGCATTTTTCTCGGTTATCATCATAATATCCTCTTAATGCGTACACAATTATTAAGGAATAATTTCAAAAATGATTGAAAAAATATGAAAAACTCACTAAAAAATAATAGATAAAAAATGATAAGCCTGCTTATTTCTGCTAATTAACATGTGATTTGTGGAACTAAAACATTCATTTACAAAATTGCTTTTAAGTCATTTCAATGCATATAATATATATTTATTGCTATGATGCCAAAGTAAGAAAAATGTGGTGTAATAATAATAATAATAAAAATAAATAACAATAATAATATAACCGATGCTTTCACAATTTTTAATTAATGTGAATATATTTGATTTTTTCAATAAAAAGGATATTAATACACATTTATCCTTGGACAGCAGTTTCTGGCCAATTATCTTCAATGTATCCATGTGGTCAATGATGTTGTTGTTGTTGAATCATTGAATGAGATAAGGCATTCAATTAATTTTAAATTATCTTTTTATTTAGTGTCAGTTAAGTGTTAACCCAGAGATGTACAATAATAATCTTATATATGGTCTTTTGAGCATATATTTTAACAAAATGGTAGAATAATATTTCTAATGTAGCGAAGTTCAACAATAAAAGAATAATAAATACTTTAGATTTATAAATAAAATAAATAAATATGAATCATACTCTGATAGAAAATCTTTTTTAATTAATTTTAATAATAAACTTATTTATTTTATATAATTAAATTAACCAGCAAATAAGCATTTAAGTATTTAAGATATAGATTAATTAAAAAGTTTATCAAATTCAAATTCATTCAATCAATGAACAAAAATAATATATGATTTGCTCAAGAAATAAAATTATATTAATAAATGAAGTAACAAATTAATATAAATTATAAAGTTTAAAGTAGAAAGATAGATGGGTTGTATGTAGGTCAGGATGATAGTAGGTAGTGGTAGGTGGTATGTGGTGGTATGTGGTATTTGGTATAGGAGGTGGTATGAGGTATGTGGTGGTGGTGGTAGGTGGTATGTAGGATGTGGTGGTGGTAGGTGGTGGTAAGTACTATTTATTATCCTCTTTTTTATCTTTTTTATTCTTATCTCATCCTAATTCTCTACTAACTACTGTACTAGCAATCTTTCTTTTCTTCTTTTCAGTTCCAGAACAAAAAAATTATATTATAATCTGCATAAAATTAAATTAATAAATATTATATTGACCCTGACGTTCCGGCACAATGACGTAAAATGTAATTTAATCAAATTTTAAAATTTTTTGTAGGAGCGACCTGTGAGAGCCCAAGAAATCCAACCAACTTCAAATCAAAATAAACTCGAAAGTCAACAAATAAGCTTCGATGAAGTTAGATTGATGTAGCTCGTTCGAACGCGATGATGAAGATGCAAGATGAACGCAAACAATAAACGTTTATTGATCGTATGATTTCTATACATTTACGTTATATATATATATATATATATACACACATATGTATGTATGTATGTATTTATGTATGTGAGTGTGTACGTGTATGGATTTTAATTTGACACCTGAACAATACTCCCTCCCATGAGGCTTATGTGCCATTGATTTACTTTACTTTTATAAAAAGATTTACTTCGACATTTTTCTACTACTACATTGAACTATATAACTATGAAAGTCATGAGAATGGTGGAGGTATTTTTAGCTGTCTTTGTCCTATCGTATTTTTCCCGTTACAAATTCCACCGCAAGCAAAAGCAGCAATGACGTCACACGTGATTTAACACCCGTCATCGGATCTCCTTTAGCAATACAAAACGCTTTCATGAACGAGCTGACAAGATGGAACGATTTGTAAAACAGATTGAACATCGGTATGGAGTTTGAGCGCAATATGAAACAGAGCGTGTGCGGTGGGACTGCCAAACTTCTATGTGAAGATTATAACCGAAAGAATGCGATTCCAGTTTAAAGTGAAATTTCACGGAGGAACGTAACGGACGTGCTGGAGGTGAGCGCATGTAGGAAACAATAAAACCATCTCATTACGACGCGCCAATAAACATGAAACAATTTTTTAAATACCAATTTAATTTTAAACTGTTATATTGTAGGTCAAACGACAAAACGCAGTACAATTTCCAATGAAAATATTGAAGGTAATAAGAACACGAAAAACAATGACTTGGACAGTAAATAAACATATCTACACGATGTGATTGTTTAAGGTTCACTCATCGAAAACGCACACACACACGCACGCACGCACACATACACACATGTATACGAGTGTTACGTACCAAAAGCTAAATAAACTAAAAAAAAGCTAAACTTTCACTGAAAACAAACAGCGGAGCTTTTAATAAGTTAATCCTTTCTTTATGTTAACCAGACTTACTTTATTACTAAAGTGATGTTATGGTAAATGAACATGCGTAACAAACAACTCGTACATAAAACTGCAGAGACGATGCCACTTGTAAAAGTTCCTCTCCTAACGAAAACTTTTATTCAGTAATATTTACAGTAACAAAATTATACAACAAAAATAAATGATGATGATAATAAATAACTTGTTATATTTTGTTTTTTAATGTTGTTTTTAATATAATAAAAAAAGTTAAAGGATAAGACATAGTAAACCAAGCTGAATTATAAATATATATATATATATAATGGTAAATATATAAATATATATATACACATATATGCATTGTTTATGTATAATTTATATAACAGCATGCATGCAGTGTCAACTTTTATACTAAAGATAAATAAAGCATCGACATTATATATATATATATATATATAATTATTAATTTTTATATACGCGTAAGCTTGTGCGTGAATGTGTAAGATTTGTATGAAGAACTCGGTTACATTCAAACTTACACACACCTTATTACTATCATTATATAAATATATTATACACACATTATTACTATTATATAAATATATTATATAAATGTACACATATGCGTTAACAAACAACACACGTCTGCAACAAGATTGAAATAATAAAATCAGCTATATGTTGAAATTATCAGATTCAAACTAATTAACACAACAACACTGACCAACTGAACCATAAAACCAACCAACATAAGATAATTAAATAATATGAAAGAATATTGATTGAATGATAAACAAATGATAAACAACAATATAATACAATAATGAATAATTTGAGAAACAGTTACACAACCAAACCATTGTAAGAACTTATTGCTAAGCCACTACGATGAAAGCTTGAACATTCCCAACTTATCAAATTTTAATTATGATTTTACACTAGTGTAAAGTAAAAAAGAGATAATAATCCACTAATTAAATGTGCAACAATCAGTACAGTTGAAAAAACACTAAAGTTATCTGTTAATGTAAAATGAACAAAGCAAGCTTTAATTAGTATTATGATGAATGATGCTTCACTCATCTACTTATGTGATGATTAAATTTTTTGTTTTATTGACCAAATGGCAACAATAAGGATGAAAAGTCAAATAATTTTCAACTTAATTAACTTAAATTCAACAAGAGTCAATCCAAAAAAATTAAGCACACACAAACATTCTACGTAATTTTTGTTTTTAACTAGTAACGATGATGAAGAATGAGTCAGACATAAGTGATAAATGCATTAGGATACAATTATTAAAACTTCAATTTCATTTAAAAAATGTTTCTTCACCATCCTTGAAAATACATTTCTTGAAACGAACAAAAAAAAGACACAAAATCACACACGTGTAATAATATAAATATATGTGCATCTGTAAGCATGTCTACACATATACATGCTTGCATACACACATACACATACATAAATAAATAAATACATACATACACAAAATTACACATACCATACAATCCTTTATTTTATAGTTAATGAAACGCACAATAAGACAATGACGACGAAATGGAATAGAACAATAAAATAATAATGAGAGCCTTAAACAAGATGCAGACAAAAAATTATACACACATCATAATATACAGTGAAAGTGAGGGACGATTTTAAAATTCTAAAGCTGACCTTTTTTGATAATTCCCGCCGTTTCGGCGGTGGATGATTTTCAAAATTGTTAAGTCAATAATATTTTCAGATAATTTAGATATTTTTGGATAATTTAAATAGATAATTTAGATATTTTTAGATAATTTAGATATATAATTTAGATATTTTTAGATAATTTGGGTTTATTTAGAAAATTTCAGTTTTAATACAGAATCTTACTATTATATTTTATAAAAAACCATATTATTATATTTTACAGAGAACCTTAAATAATTTCCTCCACCAAGGTTGGTGGTGAAATGCATCCCCGCATCATCCGCCCCCGCAGTGACGATACCGTTTTGAATCGTTATGGTAAGCATTAATAATTACTATTACAAATATTATAATATATACACATATGTACATATACATCATCATGAGTAAAAATAATATTGCCAGTCAGTGCACACAAGCATTCATCAGGCATGCAATCTGACTAATGATGACGATGATGTACTAATGATGATGTAATAAATAATCAAATTAAAAGACGACCTCCAAGCAAAATATTAATTTTTATTAACTTAGGTTATTAACAGCACAAGAAAATTATAATAAAAGTTATTAGCCAATATGATTTGATGCAATCAAACAAAACAAGTGATTGCAATATTTATGTTATGATGAAAAACTTTACAGTATCAGTTGTTCATTGTTATATATATATATATATTATCTTATATATATATATATATATGTATATGTGTGTGTGTATATGCATATACAGTATTGTATGAATTCTACTGAATTGTTGGCATTCAACTTAAAGTTTGTCTTTTCAATTTTCCTTATTAGAATTTTCTGGAAATTGTTAAATGTATTCAAAATTGAATTATTATCTAAGTTATAAAAATGTAATAAAACTGTTGTTATCCAAATTCATCATGCACATAGGCCTTATTTCGATTTTTTCACAAATCATTTTTAGTGCAAGTTTGGTTTATATAGCTTTTTAAATAAAGTTAATTTAGATCTTTAGCAATTGGTGTCGCATTCATCAAATGACAACAAGGACGAAGAATATGCCACCAATAAAGTTACTCACTTCGCTAAAGAACTAACCTTGCTTTGTTTGAAGAAACTATATAAACCAAACCTGCACTAAAAATGATTTGTGAAAAATCAAAATAAGGCTTATATGCATGATTAGTTTGGATAACAACAGTTTCATTAAATTTTCATGATGAACTTGGATAATAATTCTATTTTTAATAAACTAAACAATTTCAAAAAAATTCTAGTAAAGAAAATTGAAAAGACAAACTTTAAATTGATTAATGCCAACAATTCTTTAGGATTCATGCAATACTGTATAAAATATGGTCTCCTATATATATATATATATATTTCGTTTTGTAAACGAACTACATACATATTAAAGCCAAACATTCGGTAGAATTTATAGAATATTGTAAATATATATATATATACACACACATATATATATTGTATATATGTCTAAATGTATCATATATGGACATATATACAATAAATATAAAATATATAGACATATACATCTATACGTAATACATATGTAACACATGTATGTATACATAGATACATATATATATATATATATACACGTGATGATGAATGTTAATAAAAATTAATATGTGAGAAAAGACACAGGTACGATTCAAACACGTCACCATAGATCTTTCTAAATGACCAACTGAAAATGTAAAGTGGTACAACTGAAAAATGTCACCAGATGCAATGCTGAATTTCATCTGCTGACCTGCTGACCGCTACACACATCTACCATATTTCACCTAAATGTTAATATTAATTCAATAATTTATGCTAGGCTAAGCTTTAAAAAATTTTCTTTAATTTTTGTAATTTTTTCAAAATAAAGAATCAAAATGGTGAACAAATAATGTAAACAGTAAAACATCTCTGAAATTGTTACCTGGACACAACAATAAAAAAAACACTGATAATGAACCTGATTTCACAATTAATAATATTTTCACAAGTCCCAATATGAAAACAATTTAGCCTATCATTGAAATGAGTACCAAATCATATCAATGGTAGACATGAATGGTCGGTAACTTTTCATAATGACAAGCAAAATTATAATAATTATAATTACAAAGCTGTTAGTAACAAATTAACTCATCAGTCGTTTTTACCAGCCCATGGTAATTACTGAGCACCAGAAAACATTTCATAATGAAATTAAAAAATTGTTAAATAACATAAAAAGTAATATTGAAAATAATGATAAGATAATATATGGCAATAAATTATAACATTGATAACATTATCTTAATAAAATAAGTGACAACAGTGATAAAAGTTTATATATAACATCATATTACAATAGACAAAAAAATGTTTTTCTCAAACTAACATGAATACCAGCTATTTTCTTCAAAAATCAGCTATTACCCACCAACATCCACACACTTCATCACGAACCCTGACCACCCACCAACATCCACACGCCTCATCACGAATCCTGACCACCCACCAACAGCCACACACCTCATCATAAACCCTGACCACTCACCAGCATACATACAACTCAGCATGAACAGTTTGATCCAGAGCCTTGATTATTGCCAGGGTTGCCAGTTAATGTGATTGGTTCAGGAAATTCATTGTACATTTCTGAGTCGGCCTCTTGGGCCAGAGCATTTCGTGCAACTGTTTGAAATGCCTGCTCAACTCCAATGGCATCTTTTGCACTTGTTTCAAAATATGGAGCATGATTTTTCATCTCACACCATTGCTGTGCTCGCTTTGCAGTTACCTTTTTAGGAAATTTTAAATATCCTTCACCAACTTTAAAAAGATTTTTGAAAATATTAACATAATATAATGACAACTATAAAAAAAACTGAAAAAAAAAATTATTCTAGCAAATAAAAATCTACCTACAGCTCTATTTTCAAGATCAATTTTGTTGCCAATAACCACAAAAGGAAAATGTTCTGAATCCCTGGGACTCGCTTGAATGAGAAACTCATCCCTCCAACTATCTAAATTTTTGAACGTGCTTGCAACAGTCACATCAAATGCGAGAACACAGCAATCAGCTCCCCTGTAGAATGCTACACCTAAACTCTGAAAACGTTCTTGACCTGCAGTATCCCAAATCTGAATAATGATTAGAAAACAATATTGAATACTTAAAAAAAAACAAAAGTTAAGCAATATAATTATAATTAACCTGCAATGTGACAAGTTTATTATCAACCATGACTTCCCTTGTCAAAAAATCTGCACCGATTGTGGCTTTGTATTGGTTACTAAACTTCTTGTTGACAAACTGGTTCATCAATGAAGTTTTACCAACTCTAATGAAAAAAATGAAAATTATATCATTTGGACCAAACAAAACAAATATCCAACACAATTCTAACCCGCTGTCCCCCAGAATAATAACTTTGAGGAGTGTTTTTCTTCTAGACCCTGACATGTTGACTTTGTTTTGTGATTTCTAAGAATGGAAATATACCAAAAAGGATCTAAAAAATAAGCAATAAATTAAACAAAATGAAATAAGTTTTTAAAGCATGCAAATTATTAAAAATGAATATAAAAAACATTTGCATTGTTAACCAAAATCCCTTGCTAAAAAAAATTAAGAGAAAAAACTCCTTGGGTCAGGAACCCTTGAAAATCCAGTTAAAAAAATAAAGGAAATTACGCGAAACAAAATAAAAAATGGACAATTCGCTAAATTGTCACTCATTCGCTGAACAAACAGAATTTCTTTCAATCATCCATCCATTCAATTTCCATTGTTCAGCAAATGAAACAAAATCAAAACAAAGCATACCGAAACCACCCACCAGCTCTCGACAACTTCCTAATAAAATTTATTAAATTGATAAAAACTGAAATGTGCCAACCGAACTGAGAAAACGTCAGAAAAATTTATTTATAATTGATATCAGTCAGTAAATATTTATGAAACTGTAGACAATGAGCTCCGACGTTCGTGTCGTGTGATCGCATAAAATAATCAAATGGCCGATCTTTGGTTAATTATTGTACAATCCGTCGAACAATTAATTTATATAGAACACAGTTTTAAATTTTTTTTATATAAAACCTTTAATAACCTTTATATGGGCCTTGTAGAATTTAAAATATTTCAATAAAAAAATTTTTCTTTGAATTATTATTTTTTTAATAAAACGGCATAAAAAAAAAGCATTAGATTAGACAGTTTCCAGTTTATTTAAAATTGACAAAATTGTTATAAGCTGTTGTGTTTACATTATTAAGGCCGGATTTAGGGCAGGGAGGGCCTCCACACAAAAGGGGCCCCAACAAAAGAGATACAAAATATATCAAAATTTACATGCCGTAGCATAAAATTAGTAAAAATTTATAAAAGATGATTTGGGCACATATTCCTGATAACGAATTAGTTCAATTCTTCGTACCTTTGATAGATTTATACCACAGATATGTATATCTATGATTTATACAAAAAGACTACAATATAAATATAGACCAATCTAAGGAGTTGTTTTGCTATCACATTCTTGATTATAATAATTTCAAAGCTACCTTTCCGAAATTCATATAGGCTACTTATGATACACTATGAATGTATCTGGTTTTAATGGTCTCGAATTGCACTGGGGTACGCTCGTTTTTTGAAAATTATTAAGAATAGACTCCGAACGACTATGGGCAAATCCGACTGTCAAAACTAACCTTAGCGTTGAAAATAATTTACTACGGGAACCAGATTTGAGCAAAATCATCATCGACTTTTTTCTGAAAAAGCCCGTAAAGCTATAATAATACGATTATAGATTTCAATGAACTGTGTTCTATTTAATAAATTGAAGTATTAATAAAAAATATATTTGTCGAATAATGTTATTTGTTGGCAATATATTTTTAAAAACAATCAACTGCTTCTCTGAAACGACGAAAATGCAGATTCATTTAATCATATAATCTGTTCCCACTATTCCAACTTGCAGTGGATTTGTCATTTAAAGTAAATAAATAATTCAAATTAGATTTCTACATTACTGACCAGACTGTAGTGATTGCTGAGGTTACTTCCGAGATACGTGAATTTTTGTGTTTCCATCAACATACTTGATTTCATACAGAAAAGAAAAAATTATAGATTTCTTAGTGTTGACGACAAGCCCTGTGCGTCTTCACAAATTTCACACAGTGTCAAGATTTCTCTGAAGAACGACGGTTGAAGGAGTAGAATAGACAGCAAACAGCATCATCGGCTTATTGGAATTTGATAATCTTGTCGTAAAATATTTTATTCCATGACAAGGCAGTCGTCGGTTTCCCAGATTCGAAAAATGTAATGATGCAAACGAAAACAGAGATATGTGCTGCCATAACTACATATTTGAACCATTAGGACCGCTAGCTTTGTTGTTTTTTATACCTATTATAAAAGTTGTATTTCAGTTGAAGTTGGTAGTTCATCAAGCATTGAAACGGTAGAGAACAGAGAAAGAACATCAATATCTTAAAAAAGAATCTATGCCATTTTCGTAATTGAGCAGTTTTTCTGTATGTCCGACATATCGTGAAAAATTTTCTTCATGATCTTGAAGAACGGTAAATCCGTCTTCTTACTTAGATTGAATATTGAGACGGTCTATAAATTTGTTTTCAATATATCGTATAACCTTTGATTGTCGTTGATACCTTTATTGACTTCCGCTTAAGAAAAGATGGCTGCAATTTAAACAATTAAATAAATCAAGTCTATGTGTTTGGAACGCGGATGCATCCAAGTGACTATTTTCTGATTTTGTTGTTGAAATAAAATATTCGTGATCATAAAATCAAACTGCAAAGTAGACATTCGAATTGGTTTTTGGGTAGCTTAGTTACGTTTTTAATTGCTCTAAAAGAATGCGCTCAAAAGACGCAGTTACCTGTTTTGTGAAAGAAACGAACAAACAATTTTGAGGCGACCTTTTTTAGGTCCCTCCTTAATTTGAGGTAAAGAGTGTAATCCTATAAAAGGGCTTCTCAGTCAATGGCAGCTGCCGACAACATTTGTCGTTTTGAGTTTCGAATTTCGACAACCACCAGATCAAAGCAACAGACAATAAATCAATCAATCAGTCAATCAATCAATCAATCAATTTGTAAAGCGCTATTTCCGCAATGTTCAACAGCACTCCTCAATGAATTATGAAAACAGATGGTTCTTGAGATCAGCTCTGAACTTTGTAAAATTTTGAAAAATAGTCAAAAAAGGAGGTAAAAAGTTTTAGAGAAAAGGGCCAAAAGAAGCAGATACAGATTTAGCAAAAGAGTTTTTAACACGAATTAGGAAGAAGTGAGAATAAGAAGACGATCGTAAACCGGAGCGTTTAGGCTCAATTAATATATCTGATAAGTACTTAGAAAATAATTTACATTAATGTGCAAACTTTAAAAATTATTCTGTATTTTATAGGTAGCCAATGCAAGAGGACAAGATATGGAGATATATAAAAATAGAAAGGGACACGAGCAACTAGACGAGCAGCAGAGATAAAAGCTTTACTTAAAGGATAGAGTGTAGAATCAGGAAGACCATAATAGAGCGACTTACAATAATCAATCCTAGATAAAATTAAAAAAGTAACAAAAAGGAGAAAAGTAGGATGGTCAAGAAAAGGCAATAGTTTTGAAGCAAAAAAACAAGAAACCATCAAATAAAAATAACAAAACCACCGAGAAAACTAAACTAAAGATTTTAATTCCCATACCAAACTTTCTTTGTCATTTGTGAATCCATCTCTGTAGGACTTGAAGTTGAAATTGATTGAATAATTTAAAAAAAACAAATAAATGTTCAAGGTGAAACTATATCTGACTGGGTTAAAATTTTGGTGGTGTTCCCAGGGCTCTGTTATTGGTACTCAACTCTATCGAACTTCAATCTGATTTAAATGAAGCATTTAAGTAGACACAAGACTGGCACATAAGGTCAATTATCGAAAAATGTGTTGTTATGTACTACGGTTCAGGTAATAAAAAATATCCACTGTATATAAATGGAATACATCTTGCTGAATCTGAATTCGAAAAAGATTTCGGAGTGATTTTTTCAAATAATATAAAATGGAAAAATCAAGTCATCACAGCATCAAACAGAGCAAATCAAATGCTTGGAAATTTGATTATAAGTTGCTTCGTAATTTAAACCTAACTTTTATTTGTCCACTATTGGAATTTGCAGTATCAGTTTGGTCCCCAGATCTAAAGGGTGATAGCGAGGTGATCGAAAAAGTAAAGCACAGAGCAACAAAGTTGCCTAGCTTACAAAGATCGTCTTAAAAAAACTAAGATTACCAACTTTGATGAAAAGGAAAAAAGAGATTTGATTCAGTTGTGTAAAATCATGCATAATTAGACAAATCTGATTTAAATAACCGTTTTAGCATAGTCCTAACCAAAACGCGAAGTCCCAGTTTGAAATAGTTTAAAGAATTAACAAGACATAGAGGCTGAGAGAATTATTTATTCAGTAGAGTAGCAAATACTTGAATCTCATTACCAAATAAACTTGTTGAGGCACAATCAATACAAAATTTTAAAACAGTTACTGATTGTTGGATGAACAACAATCAATCAACGAATCGGCTGTGCTAACATGTCTGACAGCATGCTCTTCTGATAACCTCCAGAACAGCATTACCACTACTACTACTACTACTACTACTACTACTACTACTACTACTACTACTACTACTACTACTACTACTACTACTACTACTACTACTACTACTACTACTACTACTACTTTAGTCTTCTTCAATTTGAAATGTGGTACTGAAAACGATACAACGATAATATCTCTATCAAATATTTTTCAAATTTTTCAAATATTAAATATTTAAAATAAATAAAATATTTAAATTGAAATTTAAAAATTGCCAAAAATAATGTGTTGACCATGGATATAATTATTATGACCATGGATTATATATATCCATGGTGTTGTTTACATTGTTTACATATGATCTTTTAAGTAAATTAGAAATATGTAAAAAAAATTTCCAAATTGAGATATAAATATACCATTAACTATGTGTTTAGGAAGTGAGGAGTGAAAGTGTAGCATGCTTAGGATTCCTTAAATAAACGGTTGTATGTAGTTTGTGGATTATTACCCCAAAGTTTATCAATGTAAATATCAAAAAAATGTACAATAGTATTATTTATTTCAAATTCCACGATAATATCGGTAATTAAACTATTCATACGTTTAACAAAATTATCATAATTGAAATCAGGGTTACATAAAATAAATATATCATCTAAATATTTATAATATTTGATTGGAACGTGGGCAAAAAGATGTTATAAAAATGTTCGAGGTAGAGGTTAGCTGTGGTTGGAGCATAAGCTTCACCCTTAGCTACTCCTCAAATTTGTAAATAATATTTTCCTTTGAACACAAAAACATTGTTGTAAAGAGAAAACTCTAAGAGATCAATTATTAGCATTTCTAATTTACCACGTTTTTTAAATCAGCATAAATTAGGTTAAACAACAGCTACCATGCGACTCAAGTCAATGTTCGTGTATAGACTGTTTATGTTGCCAGTGATGAGACGATCCTGTTGGCATACCGAGTCTGAATCGGTTAACATTGATTCTTTTACTAGCTGGGTGTTTGAGAGTAAATTTATTTCATAGGGCATTCTGGCAATTGTGGTCTTGTTCGCCGTTTTGACGTTTGTTTTTTAATAGAATTTTCTATTTAATTTATCATAGAGTCCACATCCCTAACCGGCACATTAGCCAGCAGCAACTTGTACACTATTTTTCTGGTTTCAAACTTGAAGATACACATTTAAACTTTTCCATCATTATCATCATCGTTTATATAATCGTTTTTACTAAATATTAAGCTGGTCATATAGTCCTTCTCTCATTAGTCCTACGTGTAGATCATTCTAAATTTGTGCTGACGATACTGAGAATCTTCTTTTACCAAAGCGCAATGAATTGAAGTTTAGAAGCACAAGATCGCAGGATCTTAGTCTACTTCGGTTCGCAACTTCAGGTACTAGTTGGTTTTCTCTCTTAGTGAATCTCTGACAAAGAAAGCTAATTCGAACAAACTAATGTAGCCCATCATTGACGTAAGCGAACTTCGTGTATTCTACGACCAATCTGGCAGCAGCTTTAAAAAAAGACTGCATGCTACGAGCAGATGACCTACAAAAAACACGACTGTTCATGGGTCAAAAATAACAGGGCCGGCGAATAATTATACGTTGCCTCTTTCGGAAAAATATTGAGAAACGGGTAAAAAGTTTTTTGCCTTTTAAAGTTGGCACCTATGCTCAGTACTAATAAAAAGCGGAGGGCGGCAAACTGAAAACTGCCCCGGGTGGCCAAACTTCCAGTTACGCCACTGGCTTATATACAACTTGAAACACGTTGGTTATATACAGAGAAATCTATAAAACCACAATATACTGAAAATGATTTCATAATGCTACCTCAAAAAATAAAGGTTCTAATGAAAATTTAAGGTCAGATTTGAAATCAGGGTGTCACATTCTTAATGCTTTTACATAAAAACCTGACACAAAATTTTCTGTTATCCAGTATTTTTATAATACTTTTCACGATATTTTTTTGTGAATGTTTGAATTGTTGATATGCGTGAAACAATGATTGCCAGTTTGATATAGAATGTGATAATATTTGAAGCAATGATGTGGATGAGGATTTTGGTACAAATGTTTCATTTATGGCTTAATTTAATGTATGATGGTGTTATCAGCGGTCACACTTGGCTGATCCTAATCATTATTTTTGAACTCGCACGATACCAATTTTATTTTCAAAAAAAGGTCACTAGTTCTTTATAAGAGCATCATAATATTCAACATTATCATCAACTCATCAACGTCATCATCATCAAACTCATCAACATCATCATCAGCTAAGTCAACATCATCGTCGAAATCATCATCAACCTCGTAAACATCATCACCAACATTATCACAAAACACCATTATTATTGTCGTCAGTATCATCATCATTTTTTAGTCTTTATTATTGCAGCTCTGACATACACAGAAGTATTACAGATGTATTATCTTTTATTATGTTCTTCATATCTTCAACCAATGATATGAAGCAGCCATCTTTGCCACAAAGGCTGTTTATCCTTTTCACACGACGTACACAAGCACCGCATCATATACGCTGAGTATATGATACCCATTGAGATGTTTTGACTCAGTGAGCATTTGAACCACTGAGCCATCTCGCCGGCCAGCATGCGACAACTTACGTCATCTACCCATTTACCAGCCTTGAAAGGATGGACGGCTGGGTTGACCGAGGGTCGGCTACCCGGATGAACCTGTAGAAACTGCAGGATTCGAACCCGGGTTGTGCGGGTGGTAAACATACACGCTAACCATTCGGCCAAGATGACCCTCATCTGCATCCTCAATACACCAACTCTATAAAATGAAATAAGGCCAAATTCATTTTCCTGTCAAAAATCCAATGTTAGTAAATAATTTATTTGACTTCAAAATCTGAAAATTTTTTAATTATTTATTAATTGATCAAGAAATTGTGCCAAATCCAACATCTTGTTTAATGTTTGATAATAATAAGATAACGACTGCAATAATAATAATACAAATAATGTTTATAGACAACGGCTAGAAAATGTTAACAAGCGGTGCGTTCTTAACTAATCCACTGACAAGAAAACAATGAATTTAAGAAGCAAATGATTAAATTGATAACTGTAATCTCTGTTAAAATATCTGACAAAAATAATGAAAGCATTGTTGAAAGTTCAAAAAGCATAAAGGCTGTTAAGAATTACACTAGCACAAATTGTTGATATATGTCTGGAGCATATATGTTAGCCACAATAAGGAAAATTGATCATTCTTTCCATAGTACCCATCAAAAACAAGCAAACGTGAATAAATGTATAGATTATTTTTAAAATATGGAAGTTTCCACCCAACTTCATTGCTGACAAATTTAAGTATTTAACGACGATGTTTCAAACTGATGAATACATATATGAAGATTTCATAACAAAGTCTCATTTCATTGAGTGGTGAACTTGCATTTGCCCAGCAACCAGTAGGTTGTCATCGTTCCTTTGCCCTGTCGAAAGAAGGCCGTTGAATACGAATTAGTAATTTGGTTTTATAAATAAATTGTAATGCATATTTTTAAAGCAACAACATTTTTGTAAAGTTAACATTAAAAAATAATTATAATAATTATAATTAAAAATAAATCAGAAACACCGACAAACTTTTAATTCTATGTCTCCCCTCAGTTCAATGTGGTATTCAGGATGTACGGAGAGCTGCTCCATGACGGACGAGCTCATGTGGATTTTGAGGGCTGGTGGTTGGAAACAAGTTTAACACGCTTATAACTTACTCCAGGCACACTATAATGCTTTCAGATAGGACTGGACTAAGCAATAGACAAACGAGACAAATGTCTATAGACCGTAATTTTGATGAGGCCCGAATTTTGGCTCCACACTTATTGCAGGTTAACACAATTATGAAATTTGAATGCTGGTATTTTAATTAACCGGTCTTGCAAACGATTATCGCGTTCCATTTGCACAATGTAACATTGTTTCTTGTAGCTTTCAGGAAGAAAATAGAAATTAGCGAATCTCAAAACCAATCACACAAAAATGTTATTCTTCATAAGACATCCAATTTAATTGAAGGTTTCGAAACAATTCCGAAAATTAAAAGGAGTAACAACTTTAAAATACAGTAAGTTATTTTATCGAAAAAGGATTTTTATATCTTATGTACCTATCGTATTCTTTAACAAATTTTAAGCTCCGATGTAGTTAAAAATTGATTTTCAGCCGATTAATATAAAAATAGTTACCAAGGGGTCTTTCGAACTAACAATCTTATTAATGAAGCCGTTAAATTCGGCTTCTGTTTGCTCTGTTTTTAAAGCAGAGATACACGAATTTTTTTATAAATTTTCATTGTTAGCGACTAAATTTTGTAAATTTCACTTATTTTTTGCATAAGTTTTATATATTTTGAATAATTGTTTTGTAATGTGCATCGCACACCGCAATCTTTGAAAAAATTTGGAAAGCCCTTCCTAGCAACGGTTTTGTACTCGTAGAGTTATATATTGACGCTAATGCTACGAGGTCAACCAACGTTCAAGTCAATTAGTAAATTTCGATCCCTGTGTGTGATAACAATATTTCTGTAAAACAAAATCGGAGAATACTAAGTAAATTGTAAAACTGGATATAAAAAATAAATAACTAAGTAACAAAATATCAAATAATTTAAACTGAAAATGAATTTAATATCAGCTTTTTATCAGCAGTAATTTGTTGTCAAAAAAAGGCAATATGTCTAAAGCCCGATTAAAGCTTAATCCTGTTTTGCTTTTAAATAAAAAAATATCAGTTAATTACAACAAATTGTTTGCGGCATACAATTGTAAGCTTATGTATGAGTTGATTTTAAACATTGTATCAAATTTCAGTTGCATGGTATATAACATAAATCATTAAATATATTAATGATATTCATTTAAGAAATTTAAAAAAATTTCAAACACAAATTTTAAATAGGATTTTCCAGCGAAAACCAACCTTCTCCAGTTGATTCCATCCTGGATGTGTTCACCGTATCACCAAACAAGCAGTAGCGAGGCATTGTGTGACCGACCACTCCTGCGTTCCAGTGCAATGAAATACATTCAGTTGAATATTCAGCATTTGAGTGAATTAATATAAGAATTGTGCCTAAAAGTATTTTAAATTCAAAAACTTATAAATTCACAATTCATGTGCTATATTGAAAAAAATAGGGATTTTTATTTCTAATTACGAAATAATTTTTGTGTTTGCAAACCAGCAGCACAAGGTCCCGAATGAATGCCAATCCTCAACATGAGTGTCATTTCAGGTCGATGTCTGATCTTGAAAGTCTTGACGATGCCCAGCAGATCCAATGCCATGTTACATATTTCCACGACATGGCGCTCTGTTACCTGAGGCAGACCACTCACAACCATGTACGCGTCTCCTATCGTCTCGACCTTTTAAAGTCGTCGGTTTTCAAATAATCATGAATGTTGTGCAAGCAGTGATCGGCATTTTGATTAATATCAGCACGTCATCGATTATTCTTTCTTCAGTGAATAAGAACAACCAAATTTAGCATAATTATAAAATGTGTTAAAATTGCTAGCAGATAATTACCAAATGTTGGAAAATTTAGTTTTTTATTTGTTATTAAGCACAATTATTTGATCTGATGTTTTAGAAAGAATTAAACTTTGTCGGCAGTGAACACCTACTTAACGTTAACTCAAGGCACTGGTGTTTAAAAATTAAAAATTCTGGCAACTTTGTATTATATTCATGGTTTGATTTTTAAACTGGTTAATTATATTACATTTGATCTCAATAAGAGATTGATTGTTAAAGTTCCGCCTATTTAATATCAGCTTTTTATCAGTAGTATCAATTATTTGTTGTCAAAAAAAGGTCATATGTCTAAGGCCTGATTAACGCAACACACTGGTGTTTAAAAAATAAAGAACCTTTTATGTAATCAGTGTTTGTTTGTATTTGTTGCATGTGTAATAAAAATTATGTATCGTATCGTATCGTTTTGTGTTTGTATGTGTGTATGTGTTTTTTATTTAACAAGAATCAGTTTTCCGTTTTGATTTAAAGAAAGTTGTTCAGGAATCAAGTTGTGGTTGTTGTCCATGTTGTGAGAGCGTTATAAGATAAAAAGGAGTTAGAACAAATTGATACATTATTCACTGCTTCAATTAATCTGTCGGCATGGTTGGAATTGAAACAAAGGCTTTGAAACTTTATGATGAGCCAAAAAAGTTGAAAAAAGTTTAAAAACTTTAAAAAATAATAAATTTTAGGAGTTGGCAAATTAAAAAATAAATCAGAAGTATTGAGCAGGTTGAAATAAGTTGCTGGGACAATTAAAACAGTACTAAAAAAGATGAAACTATTAGCGGGAGGAATTCAAACAATTGTGGTAGTAGTTGGAAGATTTAAAAAAAGGGCTTGGAGCTTGTTAGGCAGAAAAACAAAATGTTAAACACCTTATTCGAACATATGGTTGGCATTATAATGCACCAGTAGAAATTAATAAAATTAAATTTAAAAGTGGGTGTTGTGAAGGAAGTTTTGAAAGTTTTTGGACAGGGTTATTTTAATAAATGTCAATAGACACATGAATTATTAAGTATTTTTAAAATAATGTATAATTCAAATGTAAAACAAATGTTACAACAAAAATATTTAAACACCGATGAGGAGACAAATTTTTTGAATTTTCACCCAATTCCGTGAAAACGCCTAAATAAATCAATCAGCTTGAAGCATTTGAATGAACAACCTTATAAACGTTGTGTTTGGAAATGGTATCGTCAAATGTTCCATAGAGATCATTTAAGATGTTCACAATTTGCATGGGAGTACTTTGAGAGGAGAGTTTTGTTAATCTAACAATATCAAAGAAGTACACCGTGGACTTCTGGTACATCATCGGTTCAACTTTATGACCGGCCTTCAATTCCTCCGCAACAAAACTTTCAAGCGAGTTTAAAATAAAAAATAGCAAAATTTTAAATTTAATAGTGCCGTTACTTTAAAATTAAAAAGGTTTATTATATAAAAGCCGTCAATGCAGCCATAAATTACAGACAATGCATGCCGACCTCGATGTTTTCTAACTGCATTTTCTATCTTTCGAGCCCAGCCGTTAGTTCTAATAAACAAACCATAAGATATTAATATAAATAAATATGAATAAAATATAGAAAACAGTGGCGTCACTAGGGGGGTGCGGGGGTGCGGACCGCACCGGGCGACACCCTCACAAGGGGTGACACCAAAATATCACTGTATATGTTTTTATGTCCCTCCATGAAATTATTCTTATCATTGATTCAGCCTAACCCGCCCAGCGCCCAGAAATGTATTATGAATAAAATTTTTTCGTTCAAATCATTTTTGTATTCGACGTTTATATGATTCGAATTTGACGTCCGAATTATTAAGCACCGCAGCCGCGCACATTTAACTTGTTCGTGTCTATCATAACGTACAACAGCGTTTGTTTTGCCCACCCGCTACAAGCGTGTGTTAGTCAAGTTTAAGAGAATAATCTATAATTTACTTAAAGTAAAAAATTATTTAATTTTTAATCAATTTAATGATATACGACAACAATTCAAAGTAATTTCACAAAAGTTGATCCCTGATCCGTAAGTACAAATATAATTTGTTTTATTAGCATTTAAATAATTATAAAATTTTTAAATTTAAAACCAACCAAATTTCAAATAATTTCATTTTATTTATTTATATATTTATTGTTGAAGGATATTATATCATGCCACGTAGAGGTGGAGTTCATACAACAAAAGGCTAAGCGGATGTCAACAAAGAAAAGCCAAAATAAAGAAAGATAAAATACTATCTACATTGCGCGGATCTATGCTGCAAAATGTAAAGGGATCAGATGAGGCCCAGAGTTCTTCCAAAGACACAGTTCCTCAACCACAAATTGATGAGACTAATTTATCTGATGCTGGTATGCATTCTGCAGAGGAAAACATTAATATAACAGAAGAAAATAGAGCAGAACAAGGTAAAGAAATAGATGAATTTGTAGCAGAAGAGTGGACTGATAATAGTGACTCTAAATATGATACTGAAAATGAACTTACGGAGAAAAATTTGAATGTTTTGGATGATGCTTCTTATTGGAATATACCAATTCCAGATCAATTGCGCGCTCAAATCATCAAAAGAGGAAGTGCATATATCCAGAACAAAGATGGGCCTTTCAGGATGTTGACGAGGCAAGATCTAAAAGCTAAAGGTGAGGTTCGCCAGCTATCCAAAGAGTGGTTTTATATGGTGATGCCAAATGGTGAGAAAGTGTTGCGAACATGGATAGTTTATTCTCCCGTCAGTGAGAAATTATATTGTTTTTGCTGCCGACTCTTTGCCGTTAATGCTACAGACACAACATCCAAATTTGTGACTGGATTTCAGACATGGTGAAAATGAGCCCGAAAGTGTCTAATCATGAGACATCCGATGCTCACTTGCATTGCTTTGAAAAATGGAAAACCTTGGAGGTGAGACTTAGAATGCACAAAACAATTGATGCAGAAAATATTGCTTTGATAGACATAGAGAAGAAAAAGTGAAGAGACGTCTTGCATAGGCTGCTCGATATTACATTATTTTTCGCCAAGCAAAATCTGGCTTTTCGGGGCCACAATGAAGAAGAATCTTCATTAAATAAAGGAAACTTTCTTGAAATGGTTGAGATGCTTTCTAAATATGACTCAGTGCTAAAAGAGCACCTATTAACATTAAAGCAAAGCACACATAAAACTAAAGCATCAGCATCTTATCTTGCATAAAATACTCAGAATGAGTTTATTCATGTCTTAGCAAATCATGTGAAGGAGAAGCTTATCATGAATATAAAATCTTCCCGGTGTTTTGGTATCATGTTTGATAGCACACCTGACGCATCACACACTGACCAAATGTCTGAAATTATCAGATATGTGAAAATTCATAATAGAAAAGTTGAAGTAAGAGAAGTGTTTCTGTGGTTTTTTCCTTTGAAAGGGAAAAAAGCTGCTGATCTCAGTTCTGATATTCTCGAAAATTTGGAAAGTGATGGACTCGACTTTATGATGTTCCGCGCACAAGGTTACGACAATGCTGCGACTATAGTTGGAATCCATGGGGGTGTACAAGCCATTTTGAAAAGAAAGAACAGGAAAGCTATTTTTAACGGTTGTGTTGACCATTCTCTTAACTTGTGTGGCCAACACTCTTTTGCTGAAAATGCTTCGTGCGTGACTTTTTTTGGAACTCTTGAGACAATGTTTTCATTCTTTGCTGCTTCCACTCACCGATGAGATGTTTTAACGAACCACACTGGAGTTTCATTAAAAAGATTATCAACAACACGCTGGAGTTCTCATCACGCAGCAGTAAAGGCAGTGAAAGAAAAATTTGATGAATGTGTGGCGGCAATAGAAGGTCTATGTGATCCAGGGGAAAATCTAGACACAAGAGGTACAGCCCGAGGTCTTTTACCTGCTATCTGCAATTTCACTTTTCTGTGCTACCTCTTCTTTTGGTGTTATGTACTTGAAGAAGTAAATCTAACGCAGCTGTACCTTCAGACTAAGGGCTTCTTGACAAGGTGGTGACAAAGCTAGAGACATTAAGACTTTTTATGTATGAGAAGCATCTTGTGGAGCTAGCAGTTGAACAGGCACTTATAAAATCAGACCAATATGGAATTTCAGTAGAGAGCAGACCCAGGTTCAAGAAGAGGATGGCAGGCGAGCGCGAGAGAGATGCTGGAATTACTCTGCAGGAAGAAAACACGAGAGTGATGTATGAGTGTATTGATCGTTTCCACTCTGAACTCCAGATCAGATCAAGAGCCATCAAGGAAGTAGCAGCCATATTTGAGATTGTTCAAGCCAAGAGTTTGATATCTGCTACTGAAGAAGAGTTATTGGTAAACATTCCAAAATTGACCACATTCTATGATGAGTTATCAGAGATAGAGCTTTTATTAGAAATACCAAGACTGAGAAGACATCTGAAGGCAGCAGAGATTGATCTTGAAGAAACCAAAGACTGGTCAGTACTTGACATTTTGAAATTCTTAGTTGAATGGCACTTCCTAGAATTTTTCCCATATCTCTCAGTGAGCCTACAATTATTTCTTACAATCTGTGTGTCTGTGGCTTCATGTGAGAGAAGTTTTTCAAAGCTAAAGATTATAAAGAACTATTTGCGATCTACTATGGGACACTCTAGGCTTTCTGATCTTGCAATATTATCAATTGAAAGATATTTGGCAAAAGTAGTTGATTTTGATGAAGTAATTAACAAGTTTGCATTGCAGGCGAGGAAAGGGAAGTTCTGATTTAATTGAGATTTAATGTGACATAAAATTTAATATAAAAATAACAATTAAAAAAGTTTTATTTCTTAAAATCAATTTTTTTTAATGAATAAAAAAATCGACCTTGAATTATTTTTTCTTCTATTTTCGTTGTAAATTTATTTATAAATTTTGCTAAGAATGCTGTATGTCTATGGGGTGTCATTAGAGGGATGACACCATGAGTTACCGCACCGGGTGACACCAACCCTAGTGACGCCACTGATAGAAAACACGGATAGTCTTTCCGGATTCAACTTACGGTGGCAACATGCTGTGAAGGAGTGTATCGGTTTTTCTTTTCTCATTCACCAGCTCTTTTGTTCTCTGCTCAACAATTTTTTCCAGGTCGTTGGCATATTTTTCTAATTTTTCCAACATATTATCCACAATGTTAGTATTTGTCCTAGAGTTGAATACAAATTATTTATTTAATTTAAAGTTGTGAGCCACATAATATTGTTCGCAAAGTTTTATTCTAGGCAAATTTACATTTGCTGATTGTACAATTGTTAAAATATTTATTTCAGTAGTATTTCTTTGTTGTGATTACTTGTTGCTGGACTTGAGTAACATTTTGCTGATGTTCTCAAAAGTTGGTCTGCTTGCAGGGTTCTCATCCCAGCACTGTTGGATCAACTCCATCATGGCCGGACTGACACTCGTCGACTTGGGTGACAACATTGAAGGACGAAATATTCCATCAGTACTGAACATGACTTTGTGAATTATTTCTGAAAACGATTAGCACTAAGTATAAAATATATTAAAGTGATTCACATTTGACATCCTCAAAACAATCCATTTTAAAAAAAAACAGTTAAAGTGATTTTATTATTGACAATTTTCATTTATTTGAAGTTAAAAATTTTTTTTCTATGTTATATATGGTAAAGCTACAACTTTACACAATTACACTTTCAAACTGACCAATCTTTAGCAGAGAGACTCGTCCAGTGTTTCGTTTATTTTATCAGGTGACTTGAAGGCTCGCAAGCCAAATCCGGTTATTTTGACCACCCATCTTATTATGACAAAATGTTTGAACTTTAGCCACTTTAGTGTTGTGTATATTTAAAAAAAATGTTTTCTTGTAACTAATACTTGTTTTAGATCAACTTTTATAATTTGGTTTAATAAGAATATTTGAAGATAATAAGATGGTAAAGCCACTATTTATTTTGAACGTAACAAGTGAATGACAAAAATCTTTGCTCTATTGTTTCTCAACAGACCGCACTTTTAATTAAAGTTGATGTCTTTCTCATTCAGTGTCGGTTGTCTGCCAAGCAAATACTTCAACGTAAAATGAAATAATAGAAAAACCTGTTATCCACCATGCACTCGTAGCTCGTCAGTTTCTTGTGCAGCTGCACGAACGATTTATGGAGTAAAGCCATGCCCTTGAAATTTAATCTTATTTGTTTTATTTGTCGCATGTGCTGCTGTGTTTTTTGTCAATTATTAAAATGGTTACAGTCAATTTGCTCAAATGTTCTGTGAAAATTTTTCAAAAGTAAAATTAAGCTTGTGGGAAAATTGAAAAATTACACATCTCAATAACACATTACTATTTGATTTCATAACATAATTAATATTTTCAGCACCAAGTTAATAATTTCCCAAACAGATAATTTTTATATTTATATCATCTCTTACCTTCACAATGTCCATAACAAAGGACAGCTTGAATGACCAGTCTAACTTCTTGTTTCTATCGTTAAGCACGTCCTACAATAAATACTCGTCTCGTAATATAACATAACATAAAACAAAATAAATAAAAGATGTTATTTTGGTCATGGGAAAAACTAAAAACTGAATAAATTTTTTAACGATTGTTATATGATTAATTTTTGTGATCAAAATTATTTTAGTTTCAGACATGAGCACATCAATGCATCAATGACTAAGTCGAGATGAAAAACCTGTAAAGTTCCTCTGCTGCAGTGTTGAACGATGTAACAAATTCTGTCATCATCTGAGCAGGCACCTAAAAATGGAACCAAGTTGTCGTATTGGAGTTCTTTCATTTGGACCAGTTCAACCAAATCCTCCCTGGTCAGTTTGAGGCTGTGCATATTTGAGTAATAAACAGACACAACCATTCCTTTGTAGAAAGCCTTCAACTTGTTTTGCCCTCTGTGCAGGTCTTTAAAATTGCTCATTTGGAACTTGTCTTCTTGATCTAATTCGTATGAGCCATCAGTGACTCCCGACAAATTTTTTATCTATTGACAAATAAAATTAACTAGAAAACTTAAATGATTTTTAATTGGGGAAGCACGTGTTTCACTTACAGTACTGCCCCCGCTAAAAAATTTTAACTCATTGAAGTTGATCTTCCAGAACATTCGAAATATTTTTCTTTCAACAATCGTCATCCTGCAACATTCAGGTGTTGTTTAAAATATTTTGTTATGCCATTGATCTCATTGCTTATTTGTTTTCGCTTGCACCATTGTTTAATAATTGTCTAATAATTGTGAGGACATGTTTGTGTTCAGATGTGAATGAAGACCGAGAGACTGCCTATCATCGCCAAATAAAATTTTGATTAAAATGAAATTATAAAATAAGATAGTAAAAAAAACATTGGAAAAAAATTTGTTCTTTAATTTTGGAATGTCATCAATATCCCACAAATTTTAAATTTTACTTCTGGCATGTTAATTTATTATTTAAAAAAAACTCAAAAACTTTCAGTTACAAAAAATATAATTTTTTAAGCAATTTTATGTTGTATGCATCCTTACCGGATGAAGTAGAAACTTGATGAGATGAGGATGATGATTATGAAGATGACTACAAGGGATGCCAGGAGGGAAGTGTTATCTGCCGAAATATATTTTATATCCTATTATATGATATGATACGAATTTCGTTAGATTTCTATTTCACAATAAATTTATATCTTTTTGGATAAATTTAAAAGTTTATATTAAAAGTTTGCTGTTCACTACTAGACTGAGGAGGTTATTTGTTAATATTGTGCTCGACTAGAGGCGTTGAGAGTGGATATCGCAACTGCGAAATAAACGATGGTTATTTGTTCTGTTCTTGTTGAAATTATTGTTCGGGTTATTTTTTTTGTCTTGAAATTGAATTTTGAGATAAATACTTATGCATTTAGTGGGAGTCTGTTAAGGAAATGAAAAGATGAGTTCTAAAGATAAGGACAAATGCACTAATTGTAATATTGGTGTGACAAAGGTTGCTAAAAATGTGTTACACTGTGTGGTGTGTAAAAGTAAATTTGCAACCTAAAATGTGGAATCACCTAAAATGTGGAAAAATTTCAGAAGAACTATTTTTTGAAATCACTGCTGATCCTGGTTACTCTTAGCTCTGTACAAGCTGCTTAGAAAAAGTATAAAATTTAGGACCCGTGCATGATGAGTCTGAGAATTAACTAGAGAGAGATTTGGGCGTTTTAAAAAATGGTAATGCTGAGATACTAAAAGAAATAAGAAACATAAAAAAGCATAGTTTAAATGTAATGGTTAATAAATTAAGTCGGATAGAACAGTCCGACAGCCTGGTACAACTACAGGACAACTTAAAGATGTCCTTTGCAGAAATATTGTCAAACATTTCAAAAGCTATCATATACTCAGGGTATATGATGCGGTTGACAGCAAGTAATGGCAACCTACTGTCTACAATCTTTTTTAAAAAAAACCATCGACAATTACTACAAAGGATTAAAAATGTTGATGATCGCCAATGTCCTGAAAAGGATAAGACCCAAAAAAACTGAAGTTTCAAATAACATAAGGAATATTGGAGAGACCCTTGAAAAAGCTTAATTAATGACGATTTGTTTTATTTCGTGATTTACCTGTCGATTAGTTGTTGTGCTGTATTCTAACGATTTTAACGATTGAATAAACAAGTGATTGATCACTCGTTTATTCAATACACACAAGTAATTGCCGGCACTGTTTTCCTTTTGATAAAGTTCATCTGAAATAAGTCTGTTCAGGAGTTAAGAATCCACGTAGAAAGAAATTACTAGACCCTACAAGTTCAAGGGGTCGGTTATAACGACTGAAGTCAGAAGCGAGATTCCGAACAGACGAGAAGATGTCAAAGAAAGAAGTTACAGAGACTGATCGGATCACCCGTTCAAGCAGCACTCAACGGACAATGGACAAAGAGGAAAAAAAACAAGGATCCAATTGTAGTGGGACGAACAACAAGAATTTATCCGCGTTTGACATGCAACAAATCATGCAGATGCTCGCTGAAATGAAGGCTGATACCGACTGTCGAGCAGAAAAGCGATTTGCTGAAATGAAACAACAAAACGCTGAAGTGAAGGCTGATGCCGACCGTCGAGCAGAAACAAGCGATAAACAATTTGCAGACGTATCGGCCAAAATCGGTCAACGGATAGCCGAATCAAAAAAAATGAGACACGAATTATGAGCGGCCAACGAAATAATACAATCAACTTGTGAGAGGATATCATCAAACAAAAAGATAGTCAAAATAGCTAAACCCGATATAGCTACACAAAACTTGGAAATTATTCTACCAACGTATTCATCCACGGACGATGTCGACTGCGACGCACGTGAAAACTATAATGCACGTGTTGACGTGCAGAAGGTAGTCATCACGTTGATCAAAATGATGACAACAATGATACGGATTACATCAATCCTCATGACAATTGGGAAGTAATCGGCAGATTGACTGACGAAAAGAACTAGCTGCATGAACTTACAAAATCAAAGGATTGCGATGACGAAAAGATAAACAAACAGTGGCTTGACCAAGGGGGGGGGCCTATTTACCAATGTACAACACTTTCTTATGGGTTGAAGCAAGGATATGCAAAGAATATCAATTTTTTCAATTTTTAATTATTTTCGGTAATGTCGATTTTATTTTTTCAAATTTATATCAAATAAAAGTAATTAATTACCACATTGAATAACAATTTAAAAAATTAAAATTTTAACATTTTAAATAAAAGTAATATTCCGTAATCAGTAAATATACGATCGTAACTTTTGATTCGAACGATAAAAAATCACCCTCCAACTCCCCTCCGAATGTAAGCTCCTTGTTCAACCGTTGAAAGTAAGCGAAGGCCGTTATTATATTTATATGGGCTGGACAGACTTGAAAAAGATCTTAATGAAATAACAACAGATATTTTCAAGAGTATAGGTCAAAGTCATCAACAGGAACATAAAAAAGGAGAAACAGTCTCAAAATAAATTCACCATATCGTTAGAAAAGTTTGAAGATGAAAATTGAGATAGACTGAATGAACGGCATGATGAAATTGAAGAACTGAAGAACGATAAGAACGATTCGAAATTGAAAGATGAATACACTGATGAATAGAGCGCACAAATTGATGACCTTCAACTAACTATGAGTCGAATGCATGCAAAAATGAGTGGAAGAATTGGGAAGGGCCGTGCCAAGTCGTCACCCGGATCAACGACGTGGTGTATCGAGTCCGAGAACAAAGTAAGCCTCGGATCAAAATGAAAATCGTACATCTGGATCGGCTAGCCCTTTACTCAGAATTGGAAAATCAACACATTGAAGGGAATTGACAAAATCGAGGACGATTTTTGGTCTCAGTTGCGGGCAATCTAACAGACGTGAGATCGAAATAAAAACTAATAGTTAGAAATTGTTAAGCATGCATTGAGAAATGAACCGCTTGTAAATTAATTAGAAGGTGTAAAGTAATTAAAACGTTGTAAATTCATGCTATGTGGCATATTTACAAGCAGATCGGTAGCTATATAAAAAACGAAGAGGAGAACTAGAGAAGAAGAAGATGGGACACAGATGACGTAGAAGTCGTAAATGTGATTTACATAGTTATTTGGATTAATCTATTTTTTCTATTACTGCTGGTATTAAATAAGCGTTCAACTTAGTTTGCGTTTAAAGTAGTTATGTTCATCTATCGGAAATTTCGAATTTAAGAATAAACGAACTCTTGACTATCGTTATAAGCTACAACACGGTGTTGGAGACATAGCGAGTATTGAAGCTCTAACATCGGTGTTGGTAGTTACGAGGTCGAGGAGATTACAACACTGGTGTCAGAAGTGGGATCTTCAGGAGATTACAACACTGGGGTCGAAAGTAAGATTTTAATAGCTGGAAGCTCACTGCTGTAAAGCAGCGGTTTTCAACTGGTGGTACGCGTACCCCTAGGGGTACACCAGCTGTTGCCAAGGGATACGCAAAAAAACTTTAAAAAAAATATATTTTAAGAAAGCTATTTTATACAAAATCAGATGAAACAGGATTATAGTGACAGTCAGCAGAGTAAAGTATTTAACAATATTAAATACTAAATATTTTATATAGCAGATTATAGATAGAATATTATTCCGACTTCTGTGGCTATTAACGTCAAAACGAAATGAGAATTCGCAAAATCTCATGTCCTATTTGCCAGGGCTATTTTAATTTATTATAATTATGCATTCAGCGGATGGCAGAAGCTCACACTGTAAACTTGTAAAGTTTAAACTTAATAGCTTACGGTCATACTTTACAAGTTGACCCCATGGGCTTCTGTTATCTGCTGAATGCATGTTAAAATAGAATTAAACGTTAATTTTTTGTTATTTTTTCTTTTTTTTGTCATGGTTTCGTCATCACACAAAAATAAATTAATGAATCTCATATTTTATCTTAATTATTGATAAATACAATTTAATTTAAAATATCGGAATTAATTATAAAAACATTTACTAAAATTTCTTAGATAAAGTTAAAGTTAAACAATGAATAAATGGCTCAAACAACAACCATTAAAACGAAAGTCATCCTCTAGCATCGCAACTGAGCCGATGTTCAGCGCAGATGTCCATGCAGATTCAGACTCGGATGATGACAATCAAAAACTGCGGAAGATTAGACGATATGATGAGAAGTATTTGTCTCTTGGATTCTCGTGGTGCGGTGAAGAAAAAGAACCAAAGCCACAGTGTGTCGTATGTAATGAAAAATTATCAAATCATTCGATGAAACCTTCATTACTTCAACGTCACTTTAATAAAAACATGCTCTTCTCAAAGATAAACCAAACCACTAGAATTTTTCAAAAGAAAAGAAGTTGAATTGAAACATTGTAGGAGCACCTTAAAATCATTCACAGGGGCTAACGCTAACTCACAAGCTTTAGAGGCGTCTTATTTGGTAAGTCTGAAAATTGCTCAAACTGGGAAACCACACACTATTGGGGAGATTCTTATATTGCCTGCAGCTAAAGATATTGTGTCATCCATTCTAGGAAAAAATGCTGCCAATAAACTTAATGTCGTTCCATTGTCCGATAATACAGTTTCTCGAAGAATTCATGATTTAGCATCAGATGTAAAAACCATTCTTATTAAAAGAATCCAAGCAAGCACATACTTTGCAATTCAGTTAGATGAAAGTACAGATATTACAAACTTTGCACAGCTGATGATGTATGTTAGGTATGAATTTTTGTTCTGTGAGTCTTTATCAGGCCGGACAACAGCTTTAGAAATATTTAAAAAAGTTGATGATTTCATGACTTTAAATGGAATAGATTGGCAGCATTGTGTGGGAGTGTGTTCTGATGGTGCAGCTGCGATGACTGGCAAATATGGTGGAGTAGTTATGCAAATTAAACAGGTTGCACCGGAAGCAAAATTCACACATTGCAGTATTCACCGTGAAGCTCTTGCTACCAAAGCCATGCCTGCTAGTTTGAAAACTGTTTTAGAACAATCTGTTAAAGTTGTTAATTTTATAAAAACTCGGGCTCTCAATTCTCGTTTGTTTTCAATAATGTCTAATGAAATGGGAAGTGACCATAAATAGCTTCTTTTGCACACAGAGGTACGATGGTTGTCACGTGGAAAAGTGTTATTTCGACTTTTTGAACTACGTTCAGAAGTGCAAATATTTCTCATGGACACTGGATTTCAAACAGCCGATTTATTTCTGAATGAGTTATGGTTAATGAGGTTGGCGTATTTAGCGGATATTTTTGGTAAACTGAACGACTTGAATTCTAGTTTGCAAGGACGAAATATAACTCCGTTTGTTGTTGTTGACAAAATAAATGCAATCATTAGGAAGCTACAGTTCATGGTTTCAGATGTTGAACAATTTCAAGTAACAGCATTTCAATCACTGCACACATTCTTGACTGAGAACGAACTTCAACTGCATACTAACATGGCTGAATATATCAAGAACCATTGTTCTCAGTTAATTTTGAATTTTCGAACCTATTTTCCTGAAAACTTTGATGACAAAACTTGGATAAGAAATCCATTTTCTGATGTTGAATTGCCAGCTGACTTTTCTGTTCAAGAAAGAGATCAATTCATTGAACTTTCGTGTGATGGTGGATTGAAGAATGAATTCAACAAAGACTTGTTGAGTGATTTTTGGCTTAAAAAAAGAGAAGAATATGGATTAATTTCTGACAGAGCTTTGAAATTTTCGATCCCTTTCAGTACTTCTTATCTCTTTGAAACTGGATTTTTTGCAATGTTGGCAATAAAAAACAAATACAGATCAAAACTTGAACTTGAGCCAGACTTGCGTCTAAAATTGACATTAATAAAGCCTGACATTGCAGAATTGTGCAAATCTAAGCAAGCCCAGTGCTCACATTAACATGATTATACTTTTATTGAGACAATGAACGGAACTCTCTGACTCTTTGTCTTAGCAGAAAACTATGACTATTTGGTTTTTATTAACATAATAATTATTATTAGTAGAACTATATTTTCTTGTTTTTCAAAAAGATTACAAAAATAAAAATAACATCGTTTTCCATTAAATTAATTTTGGCATGAAACCATAATAATTTTAATATAATATTAATATTATAATAAATTTTGTAAAATGTATAAGCAGATTGGACTGTCACTAAAGTGACTGTACTAAAATAATCAAAATTTACTAAAATAGCTAAATTACTAAAAAATAAAGTTTCTGAGAAATTTTTGTCTGATGGGGGTACGTACGCAAATAACATTTTAACTTGGGGGTACAACAAAAAAAAAGGTTGGGAACCCCTGCTGTAAAGAATGCCAGGGCTAGAAGAACTCAATATAATTAGTTTGACTAGAGAAGATTAATTATTATTGACGATTGGTTTTATTCCATGATTTACCTGTCGATTAGTTATTGTGCTGTATTCTAACGATTTTAACGATTGAATAAACGAGTGATTGATTACACAAGTAATTGCCAGCACTGTTTTCTTTCTGATAAAGTTCATCTGAAATAAGTCTGTTCAGGAGTCAAGAATCCACGTAGAGAGATATAACTAGACCCTACAAGTTCAAGGGGTCAGTTATAACAATATTATTATATATTGTATTGTGGGTTAATTATATTTTGTTTTTTTCGTCTTGTTGGGGGCATAGGAACGTTCAGTTTGCGCCCTTTAATTGACTGTTTATATTATTAGTAAAGTGGTGTAAAATTAACATGGCTATAAATCAGAGTTTAATATTTACGTAAATCTATCCACACCAGTAAATTTTTATTCAATACGTTTCAACAAAATCACGTCAAGATATGCAAACATGTTAATTCGTGTTTTTCCTTAAATTATCTCATAATTATGTTTAGTTTTTATATTCTTGTTTTTTGCAATTATTTTAACGTAAATTCATAAATTTTTATTTATAGTGTTAAAATTCCGGGGATAATATTGTTAAAAGTAACCTGATTTTTGAATGCAGAGCTCATCCAAGAAGCCACAAGCAGGGGTATCGGCTGGCACCTTGTTCTTTGTTCCCCACGTCTCGTAGCCTATTATGTTCGTCTGGTTGGCAGACCAATTAAGTCTAATGATCATCATGCATCCAATTTTAACATTCATTATATTATTACTACTCATTTGAATTAATAAGAAAATTGTCTACTAAAACTTTTCTTAAACGGGCAACAGTTTCAAAGAGCTAATGATTTAAAAGCTATAAACCTTACTGAAAGAAATTTTTAACTAATAAATGTTGATTTGAATACTGTGACAAACATTTCTAAACATCACCGAAACATCTTTCGATTCATAATAACTCAAGCTTTATATTTAAAAAAGTAGGTTACAAAATACTGCCATGATGTAAATGTGAGAGTGTCCGTCTACTACTTCCACGACCCGGGTTCGAATCTTGCAGTTTCTGCAGATTTATCCGGGTAGCCAACTCCCCGGCCAACCCAGCCGTTCATTCTTTCGAGGTTGGTAAATGGGTAGACGACGTAAGTTGTCGCAAGTTGGCCGGCGAGATGGCTCAGTGGTTTAAATACTCGCTGAGTCAAACATCTCAAAGGCTATTATATACTCAGCGTATATGATGCGGTGCTTGCGCGTGCACATAAATGCATGTGTACGTCGTGTGAAAAGGATAAACAGCCTTTGTGGCGAAGATGGCTGATTCAGAACATAATAAAGATATAAAGATAATATATATGCAACATCATTGTAAGTGGTTCTGCGCATGTCAGAGCTGCAATAATAAAGACTAAAAAAAAGAACTGATTTGAAAATAAAATAAATATGTAGTGATCAGTGTTTAAACCTAGGTACTATGCGTATACGTCACGTGGTAATAATTGTCTGATACAAAAAAAAAATGAAATTTAACAAATGTAATTGCAAGCAATTGTGAAATACGTGGACAAGTATTTAAATTAGAGAAAAAGCTTTCACACGAAAATTGTTGCTGAAAATATTTTTCAAGATTATCGCATGAAAACATTGCTTGATCAGATCTTATTGTATTTATTAATTATGAACAAAATTAGAAATAGAACTCACCAATATTTATTAAAGAACAATTTATAAACATTTTTTCTAATTTTACACATATAAACTCGTGATGAACCGATTACCAGTTGATTAAAACAACAAAACATCCAACAACCGAGTATTTGTTATCAGCCGTCAGGTTGATCTCCATGTAGGGTGTGTATGTACTTGCGTTGGAGCTCAACGACCAAACGTAAAAGTACATCAGTCTGTCTCCATCCTCGTTGAATTTTATTTTTGCGGTTTTATCTATTTATTCGAGAAAAAATGAATTTTTTCAAAATATCAAACGGTTATCTTTATTATTCAATTTATACGCCTAATTGTATGAAATAAAATAACCGGTAATTTCCTCAGATCTGGCAGCATCGAGTATGTTGCGTCCGCTGTTTGGGTCACTTCCTGATTTTATGGTTAAATTCCTCAAAAACAGATACACGTACAAAATGTCGCCCAACGATTGCTGCATTTTAAAATTTATTAGTATATGAAAAAAAACAGCTTCAAATTCGTTTATGGTTTTTTCATGCAATGGAAAAAATATCGTTTGAATTCAATATGACCCAACGTATTACGGGTTTGGATGGCTCGATACAGGGGCGGATCTAAACAACTTGGACGGGGAGTCAAAATTTAAAAAATGTTTAAACATTGAAATTTTACATGGAGGGTCAAGAAAATAACCAAATTGGTACTTGTGTGGTTAAAATTTAGTTTTGTGACCTTTTTTCTGCCTATCACGTCAATTTTTAGCAGATTTTGACCAAAAACTGAGTTTTTTTGACCCAACAAAAATACTGCTACTAACGGCAGGCCATGGCCCTCAGTTTAAAATTACTAGCTTAATTTAATCAATTAGCGCTACATTCTAAAAAAATCGAGCTATAGTGTGTGTTCAGTGATACACAATGATAACTGTTTGGTTGATTCATGACATTAAATATAAAAAATGTCGGAGTTTCCATTACCAAATTATATATTTTCTTACTCAAAAAATTGAATACTACATGGATCTTGTAAAAAAAAAGAAGCAGCTTAATTTATTACTATATCAAAAAATATTGAACTGTAGCACATAATGTTAACTGTTCAATCTGTGCTATAATGTAATATAATAATATTATACTATTGAATGTCAAGAATTTTATTAACAAATTATACATATTCTACTTTGAGTACTATATGAATAAAGTATACATATTCTACTTTGAGTACTATATGAATAAAGTAAAGAACTGCCAACTTGGTTCATTATATAATGCCACAATCCAAAAAAATAGAACTGTAGTGCGCTGTCAGTATTACCTAATGATGATGACTATTCGGTCAACTCAAAAATATCTATATCAAAAACGCCGAAATTTCCATTATCAAACTATACATATTGTTAAAAATGTTAAAACAACAGTTAAAATGCTCAGAAGATTGAATATTACACAAATCTGTAAAAAAAACTACCAGCTTGATTTACTATATAAGGGTCTCACTCCAATATAAACCTCTATGAATAGATCGAATAGTTAACATATGGAATGAGCTCTATTATTATCTACTATTGGTCTCGCACTTGTATTTTTGCTTCATTTATAAAATGTCAACACTAATATAACATAAATTAATTTAAATTACAGTTTCAGTTGTCACACAGCTTAAAAGCCCAAACGACGACCTACCACGAGATTGAACCTGACAGGGGTGGTGTCTACTCTCGGGTTAGGAATGACGGTCGTGTTTTTGTGGGTCATCTGCTTGTAACGATGGTTAATATAACAACATTTGTCTCGAACTAAAAAAAAAATAATGATGCTATAAATAAGACCATTTTAACATTTAAAATTTCAGCGTGAATGTAAAAACAATTAACAACCCGCATATATATATATATATATATATATATATATATATATATATATAACTGATTATAATATTAATGGTCACCGAATTAGTTCAGTTGGTAGAAGTGCAATGTCTTGCGCTGCTACTACGCGATGGCATGGTTCGAATACTGTCTGTCCGAAAGTCAAAGACCATCATAGGCGTGTGATGCGGTGCTTGCATAATGTGTATGTGCGTCGTGTGGTGTGCATAGCACAACCTTTGTAGCAGGTAAATTTAATTGTAAGTATAAAATAAAAGAGCTGCATTGTAAAGAATACAAAATTCACTACAAAACCATCCAACATATATTGTTTGCCAAAAAACCGAGCTGGTTATTTCAATAGGGAAATGATTTAAAAAATTGTTAACGCAATTTAATCGTTTCAACATGGACATATGCATCTGCAAGAATACTGTTGCTACAAGGGCATCAGCACCAATGACAAAAGAAGTTTACATTATTCAAGATTTGTTATCTTTTTTGAACTCTTTTTCATGTTTTCATTAATAAAGTTGCATTAAAAAATACTGACAATTTTGAGAGCGTAAAAAGCCTGTTTTCTATAATTGTCGGTCAGTGTTGAGTTGGTGGGAAGCCAGGGATATAGGAGAATGTTGAAGGGGAATCCTGGTAACAATGTCATTTAGAGAAGTAAAAATAATTAAGTTTTACAGCTATATGTTTTTTGAATATTAAAAATATTTTGTAGTAATCATAATTGAGTCTAAGCCACTTTTTCAACAGTCTAAGAATTAATTTTAATTAAGTTACGAACATTTTTTACAACTTCGTTACAAAAGCAATATGTTTATAGAAAAAAGCTACTTACGCAAATGTATGTTATTAAAATAGCACTATTTAAAGATAGCAATCAAACCTAAGTAAATGTTGAAGAAGGTGATCCAGACGTATTGAGCTGGATCGGTCATCCCAAAATCTTGTGCCTGGTACATGATTTGCTGGAAGGCCGTGTAGTTGGTGTGGCAAAAAATAATTACTGTCGAACAAAAACATATATTTTATTTGAAAAATCTAGTAACAAAAAATAAATGCGTTTTTAATATAATTTAATCGCTATGTTATAAAATCTCAGTATCAACAATTAATAATAACATTACTTCTTGCCGAACGACGAATCTTCATCAAATAGGAAACATTTTCAGGAACAATGATTTGCGGTACTTGAACAATTTCGGCAATCTTCACCGAATCAACTCTTAGAAAATTTTGTATTGATTTGAATGCGAAGTTGCAAAAATCCAGTCCATCGCTCATGATGGCGACATTTTTCCACTGGTACCGTTGGAAGTACGCCGCGAAAGAAGCGCTGAATGCCGTCAAGGAGCCAAAGAATCTGAGAACAGTCGAGTAAACTGTTGAGTTGTCAAGTGTCGGATCGAAGCAGTTCAGTGGGAAGTATGCGACGTCGTAGTAGTTGGCTGCTTGTGCTGTCGAGATGCAATCTGTAGTCAGTTGATCGTGACGGTGAAATTAATAGGAAACGAAGTATTTTTGGTTGCTCGGCTACTCTACGGGGTAACTTTGTTCACACTTAACTGAATGCACAAACATACTTGAAATTAACTTCAAAAATGAAAGAAGTTGAAAAAGGGTTTATAAAGCTAGGAGCCCACAAGCCCTCCCACAAGCCCTCCCGCTGCTTTTGTGAAACAAATGCTTATTTAAATTTTAAATTCAAAAATGAAATTAATTGAATGATTAATTATTTGAAAACATTTAGGTTTCATTGTTTACAAGTTACGTTGTGTTTATACAGTCAAAGAACTTGATGAAAATTAAATACTGATTTTATTAAAAAAATCATAATCGAAAAATTGAATGAAACTGACTGGCAGTACAATAAGCTCCAAAGATGACGTCGACAGAGTTGTTGAGGATGAAGGTGAGAGCTTCACTCATACCCAACATTCCTTCACATCTGTCGATAGCTCGGACTTTCATGCTGCCCATAAATTTTTTGTGGTAATTCCAAAAATAAATAAATAATTTGTGAAGAATAAAGTGTTTGTAATAATTGAGATGCTTTCGTTTGTTTGTCTGTTTTGTTTGTCCGTGTATCAAATTGAAGTGCGGTTGGTGTTGGTTGAAACAAAAAACTAAAATTCAGATATGTCAGACTATTTTGATGAAGCTAACACGCAAAGTACTTAATTTTTGTTTAGTCAGTGATTGGTTGTCATAAACTTTGAAGTTCCACTCATCACCTGAACAAGAATATTTTTAAAAAATACTAGATCACATTGTTTTGTAATATTGTCAATGGATGTAGCACATACCACATAAATGATTTTCACATAATAAAATATAATATAACACAACACAAAATAAGGTAACGTAACAATACAAGCAATATAATGTTATGCAATATAATATTATACAATAAATAATACAAAACAGAACCTCCACACTGACCTGTAGTTTCCTCTGTAGATGTTGTCCATCTGGGATTTGTTGTATCCACCCTGAAGTGCATTCGCCACCAGATCCTGGTTCACGGTGCTTACCGTCACTCCGATCGTGATGTGTTCGTATTCGTACACGTCGGGCGAGGAGGAAGATGATGGTGATGGTGGTAAGATTAGGAGGATGGAAATATGAATGAAGAGAAGAGAGATTTTTGAAATATAGTAATAAAAGTTACTGACGTTATAGACAAATGGAGATGAGTTGAAAAACATGATTAATGCAGGAAAATATTGGCTACTGAATGCTCTAGGATTGGAAGTTGGGGACGATGAAAAAACTTGCAAAATCTTTTTATGAAAACCTTCGAAATAAAATTTGTTCATTAAAGAATTCGTTTCACTAAATAAACAAAATTGTAATAACAAATAAGTTCAGTAAGAGTCAGACTTCTTGCGTGTCAACATCAGTTTGACTGAGTAGAACAAAATCACAAAGTGCTGGCCACACTGCTTATATGGGCTTCCTGCAAACATCACAACTTTTCACTGATAACACACGCGTTTTTTTTATATGCAGAGACACGTAACGTTATATGATGCATGCGTTCAAACAGTTTGTGTTTGCCTACATAAGACTAAATGCTACAGGTAGAATTCTAGTTAGCGGTGGATATTTTATGAACAAGATTAAAAAATGTTCAAATCGTTTCATAATCTTGACTTAGAAGCCACACACGCTCACACAACAGTTTCTAAAGTTTAACTTCAAATTTTTGTCAATAAAAGAAATATTAATACAACTTTTGTTAAAAAAATTTGACTTTTGTAATGCAAAACACATTATAAATTTAATCTATAAGATTGATTGATAGATGGTTTTGATGAATAATATTAGGTCTAAATTATCCAAACAGTTTATTAGTGAACTACTTGGTAAATTATTTGTAATCAGCGGCGGATCTAGACAACTTTGAAGGAGGAGGGGTGCTAAGATTTGTGGTAGTGTGACTGACGACCGTTTTTTGCTTATCACGTTCAATTTTTGGTCGATTTTACACACAAAAGGGTACTTTTTCTGATTTTTATTAAGAAACTGCTGACAACGGGAGGCACTGGCTCTCCCGGCCCCCCTAGATCCGCCACTTTTTGTAATAAAGCATTGATCAATTCAAAATCTGGTTGCTGAAACTTTATTGATCTTTGAAGGCCAATTTAAAAAAAAGTTATGAAAGAAATGATAGATAAAAATTATTTCATGGCGTTTTTGTTTGATGGCGGATCACTTGAGTCTGTTAAACACAGTTCCAGAAACACATCAACAAACTGCCTCACAAGATGAAGCTGGTTTTTCCTGTTTCCATTGATTCATTCAGATGATGTCATCGGCCGCGGCCCAACCTCATCTAATTCGCCACAAACGTTCAAAATATTTGTCAACTTTGTTTTTTAACATTGAGTAACATTTTTAACATTATATTTTTGATATAATCATATCAGCCACCCACTTTAGAAAAAATTGAAAGCGGTCTCGAAGAAAGATGGCACCTATATTGACACCAGGGCATTATCAGATTTTTAGAACAACTCTGTTGACGAACTGAGGGAAAATTTTCTCATATTAGTAAAAAAATGTTTCCATTTTCACCGAAGAGGCTCAGGGCCAAAATATTGACGGGGGGCCAACTTTTATGGTATTGTGGTGTGGTGTCAAGATTTTGCTTATCATCTTTTTTGGGGTTTATGATGGCAATTTTTTCTCCAAAACACTACTTTTTTGTTAAAACGACTTTAATATCTCTTAACACAAATAACTAACGTTCCCGACGGCCCCCTCCAGATCCGCCACTGAATATTACTATTACTTATTATAACTAAAATTAATCTTTCAAAGTTATATTTTCAGGAACAAAAATTTAATTACACTTTAAATAATTAATTATTAAAATATGTAAATCATTCCAATAAATTATAACAAAAAATTTATTATCTTATGAAATATTTTTCTCATTGCTTTGTTCACATCATGTAAATGATCGCCATTATTATTAAATCAACCGACCGACTAACCAACCAGCAAACCAGCCAACCAACTGGCAAACAAACCAACCTACCAGCCAACCAACATCCATACAGTCTGCCAGTTTCCACTCACAGGTAAACCTTCCACGTCTCCATTCATCACGGCAAATTATTTATTCTCAACAATGATATAAAGCTCTTTCATCAGCTGCTTCCTGGAAGCTCGTAATTATGAAATGAAAAGTTGGACGATATTTTAATTTTTAGTCGCAGGTGTACTTTTAATAAATTTCATTCATTGAGATTTATTGAAATAATTATTTTATTATTTAATCTGTTTGTTTGTTCGAATAGTTTTTATAGAAAAAAATTTAAATAAAAAACAAGATGAAAATTTACAGGTGTGTGCTGCATCGTATGAATTGAACAAATGGAAATTAGATGTTTGCTCGTTGATGAAATGCAACATGAAGGATTGTTATAACACAAATCATTCGGGCTTCCACGCTGCTTACACGACATCCATCCGAAACGTCACATCACTAATTTTCGTATTAACAATAAAAAATTATGAAATAAATTTCTTAGTGACGCGCATTAAGTCAAAAAATAAAATATTTCGTTAAAAAAAACGAACAAATTTGTTCTAAAAGACAAAATACAAACTGGATATCTTAAATGAATGGTATAAAAAATGAAAACGAAAACTCCCAAAAAATAATATTTAAAGCAAATTTTCTGGAACATGAAATAATGTAGCAAAAATTTATAGAACCAATACTCTGTATAAAAATCTTGGCAAGTGTTAACGTAACTATGTGAGCTTCCATCGGTAATAAATTACTCGCTTTAGGTATGTCTCCAAACAAAATCAAAAGTTTGGCATTCAATCAATCAATCATTCAATAATTTAATCATTCAGTCAATCAATTAGTCAATTAATCAATCAATTATTCAATCAATCAACAAATCAATCAAATTTATGTTGCCCAATTTCTAAAGATTTAACATTAACTTCAATCAATTCAGACATTATTATAGAATGAAGAAAAGAAGCAGAATAAAATGAGTTAATATTTTAATGTATAAAATAAAATATTGAGTTGTTTAGTTATAATGTAGTTAAGGGGAAAAATTAGTAAATATTTAGTAAATAAATAAATGAAAGCGATAATTGATGAAAGACATAGAGATAGATTTTGAAGAACACTATTGAAATTAGATGGAGGAAAAAAAGTAAAATTATAAGAATCATCACCATATAGTTGACTAGTGAAAGAAAAATTATTAATAATATGAAGTAGTTCAGAAGTACAGAGTATAAATAGAAAAGGGCCAAGGATAGAACCTTGAGGTACCCCAAAAGTAAGAGTAGAATGTGAATGTGAGTAGGTTAAATTATTGGAGTGATTGAATAAGTCATTTAAATTATAAATTATATGATCATAATTTATTGTTTTGCCAGATAATCAATGATCTCGGAGTATTATTTGATGAAAATTTAACTTTTACAAGTCATATCTATTCAGCTATTAGTTTATCATTTAATATTTTGGGTATAAGTTCTAGAAATTTTGATAAGATAACTAAATTTGTTTTTTTATATGCAACACTAGTTTATTTTTACTTAGTGTACGGTGGCCTTGGAAAATTAAGGTCTCGAATGGCATTGAAAGCGTACAGAAAAGAGCTACTAAATTGAGTTGTTCCTCATTAAAATATAAAGAAAAATTAAGGTACTTGAAGTTTTCCACACTGTTTTACAAAAGAAACTGTGGTGATATGATTTTTTTCTACAAGTTTCTGAAATGAGGTTTTGATCCCAGTCTTCCGAACTTGTCAAAAACCAGAGACAACATATTCAAGTTAAGGACGCAGTCGTTCAACAAAAACATCCGGAATGTGGAATACATTGCCTAATAATGTTGTGAATGCAAGCGACGTTAATGATTTTTAAAAAAGTTTAAAGGCTTTCTGGTAATAGTATGCATTCAAATTTTAAGCCAATTAGATCGGTAGTTTTCCAACTATTATTTTCCCAAAAATTTCACCTCCTTCCCATTATGAAAGCCAACTCTTTTTTGAAGGCTGAGATTATTGCAATTAAAACTGAGTGTGTGTCGTAATAAATTATGTTTGCAATATTACAGTTTTAATTAGTTATTATAAATTTTATTTAACAAATACATAACCAGTGATGAGTTAACTACATACGCAAAGTAAATAAATACTTGTAAAAAAATTTTATATAACCATATCCAGTAAGACGCTTGTTCAGCTGTAAGTTCTATGTTCTTTATACAACTTGATCGTCTTTTACCCGCCAAACTCAAATCCTTCAAATAGCTGAACACTAAACTCACAACACTTCTTGCACCAACCTCAATTGCCTACAACCAACACCTTAACCCACGTTGTTTTATTTCATTAGCTAGCCTTCATACTTGGCTGCTTTTATAGCGTGACTTGCTGCCATATAGGCCTCATAGGGTATAGTCAGTTTGACTAAAATAACAGTGTCTTTTGATAACGACTGTATTACTACCTGTACCCTTCATAAATGATGGGTAGTTCTTCATGCTCTCCAAATCTGCCATGGCCTTCCAATCTCTGCCGTTATCAAAAATACTTCATTTCTCGTGTTTTTTTTTTGTTTACCTGGTGGCCTTGGATTTGCCTCGTCACAAACATTGAAAACGAGTTTCACAAGTACCTATTGGTAAAAAAAACTAATCAACGCAAAATGGGCAAAAATATTTAATGAAGTTTGTATCGCTGAGAACCTCGTACCAAAATATATGTATATAGGTATGTATATGGCAATTATTAGTAATTATTATGTTAATGTATTCTTACCCATTTATTTATTTTTATTTAACATGGAATGTTTTGGTTTGGTTTTTATTGAGAATTTGTGATGTATCTGTTTGTTTTTGAACATTTGATTTAATTTTGATATGGGCATATGTTTATTTGCGCCCATGGCCCATTATCTTTTCATGTTATGTTACTTGTTAAATAAATATACAATGTGTATTCACGAACAAACACGCGAAGATATAAACAAGCAAGTCAAATATACATTCACATTTAGATGAGAATGAAGTTAATTTCCAGATTTGGAAAAATTACCAAAATTTGGTTAGTGGAAGCCAAAGCTATATTTTAGTACAGGTCTATAAATTATGTAGAAAATGGAAAAAAGCAGTTATCAGAAACTTTCGAAAAGTAATTATTATTGTGGTTAAAAACAGTATTAAATAATGAAAAAATAGTTAATTGCTAGTTCTTAACTATTTGGAAACCAAAAAATTTTATCAATTGCATTTACTAGATAAAAGTTATTAACTAGTAGTTAACTAACTATCTTTGTTCTTTGTTAGTAACTAACTACCATCACTGTTCACAACGCAAACGGTAATTCACGGATGAGTCGAGATATGTGACAATATATCAAAAAAATCTTCCAGATACAATGATTAACTAGTGTCAAGTATCATTAATAAATCTTTAAACTTTTCTGGCAAATGTTACATAAGACTAATTGCAGTGCGGTCTAATGAAACGCAAAAAACAGTGCATTATAATTTATAACTGGTACGCTACGAGACGTTTGAGTTGGAGGCAATTACATATGTGAATTTGTAGTCATTGAAATTAATTACATCGTTGTTTGCGTCATATATCTTAATTATTAAGTTATACTATGTATTGAGTATGATATGTAATCATTGAAATTGTATTAAATACTACTGTGAACACAGACATGAATAATGAATATCACTACTAAATAAGCATCTACACTACAAAACACGCACATACTCACATAAAAACATAGGTTCAATAAATGTTACAATGCGTTACGTTAAACTGTACATGTACACAGTTTTTTCTCACTACACTTAATCTGCAATTAGCTTGCTTTAAAAGCCGACACTCAAGATTTATTATAACATCACTTCATACCAATCAGATGTGTTAACATATTCCTATAAATAGCGATACTGCCTATTCATTGTCGATCAGTGTCGAAATATTCTTAACTAAACGAGAAATGGCTTCATTCTCTGGAAAATGGCGCTTGGTGGCCGTTGAAGGTGTTCAAGAATTTCAAGACGCTATTCGTAAGTTAATCTATGAGCAAATAGCAGTTTATATTTTATTTAATTTTTACATAATTTTGTAGATACCCCAGAAGATTACAAAAAGAGATTAAGAGAGCTGTACGGAGAGCTCAAGAGCAACCCAAATGTTTACATTGAAGAATTGCAATATGACAAGGCTGGAGGCAAGATTTACAGGAAGGTGACCATCAAGGGAGAGGTGAAGAGAGAGTTGACAGTTCCCATAGGTGCCGATTATGACACTACAACTATGGATGGAAGAAAAATTACCGTAAGTATCCTTAGAGAAACGTTTCAACCATACAAAAATTAAATAAAAATAAATAATCAGGGTTGATTGCAATCTCACCTTGTTGAACACAAAATCCATGACAAAATTTAATATATGCAAAAGTGTGTGATGCGTTGATTCACGTGTATTCATACCCGTGAATGTATTTATGTTTTTTGTAATAATAATAATGCGCCTCAGTCGCTTGCCATGGCGCTATATAAAATGACAATATTATTATTATATGACCCAGACCGACGTGAACCGATCGATAAAACTTAATTTAATATTTTCGCTTGCAAACCAGGTTAAAATTACGGTAGAAAGTGATTCAAAAGCTAAATTGCATGAAAAAGGAGAAAATTTCGAACTGGACTCCACCTTTGAAGTTCAAGGACAGTCTCTGATACTGGTTTGTTTCACGTAGCTTGACTGACAAAATTCTGACACCATTTTTCGATAGAATTCAAAAAAATTTATAACACTTTTGTTAATCAATATCCCTAAATACAATCTTGTAATTAATTATGTTTCACCACACATAATATATATATATATATATATATATATATATATATATAACATTTTACATAACATTTAATAATGAGCGTAGATCGAATTGATGGCAATAATTAATTTAGTTTGTCTTTTTGATAAATTGATCACTGCCAACAATTTGGTAGAATTTATATAATACTATATAAAATATGGTCTCCTTTCAACACGTATATATATATATTATTTCCTCTGTCGGTTGTCTCCAGCCAAAGAGGTCAAAATGACTTTTCGCCATCCGTTTCCGTCATTCGCAATCTCTTTTAGTATTACTCCAGGGTTCTCTGCGTAATGATAGTCCAGCTCTTTCAAAACCTCGACTAAGACACTCGTTCCATTTCGTTTTAGGCCTGCCTTTTAATCTTTTCCCCTCTGTTCGATACATCCGGATTTTCTTAGGTGTTCTGAACTCCATCTTTATCATATGTCCTGCCCACTTCAATCTCCCCTTCTTAAAAGCATCACTAATATTCAGTAAATGACAGGTAATTATTCTATATATATATACATATATAAATATACATATCTTATAACTTAAATTAAAAGTTAACAATTCAAACGCATTGATAAACGACAGACCAACAAGACTGGCAACATCGTCTCAACAATGAAGTACGAGAGAGCCTGAGCGAGTGACGAAGAGCGGACGTTGTCGATAGAACACGCCAGTGTTTCAAATTAATATTGATAATTTTCAAACGTTAACAACATTTTATTATTAATAAATATAATTGTTGTACTTGAAATCAAAATAAAATATTTCTAATTACGTTAATTACGTTGAAGTCGTCCCTTCATTAAACAATCATTTAAAAAGTATTCAAATTCTTAAAAACTAAAAATCTATGATTCAATGATCTGTTACAGTGCAGTTTGTATTTCGACCCGAGAGCCCCATCTTCATGACTTTTCCAATAAAACACTCTGCCTACGCGCGAATGTAACAAAGCCATGGCACACCTTACAAATTAAAGTTGGCACAAACATTTTTTTTAAATATACAAAAATTTTTATCATAACAAAAATCAACGAAATTCAGGCTAACATATAAGTTGAAAAACAATCTTTTGTAACTTGAAATAAATTATATTTTAAATTAAAATTTATAAAAACTTAAAATAATAACAATGTTAACAACAAAAACAACAACAATAATGAATAAATATAGTGACGATGATGATGTGGGTCAATAACAGCAAAATAATCATGAATAAATATTCGAAAAATACAAATTCATCTGTAAGCAAGCACAAAAAAACCAACATGACGCATGGCTCAACAGTCACGTAGGCATCATAGTTGGTGCATAGGTATGGTCCAGTTTTGTTCGAAGGATCTGTTACAAAAAATATTTTAGCCGTTTGTTTCAATGTTCTAGATACATGCATAATCATTTAAAAAGCAATTTGAAAATTTAAGACTTGGTAAAATTAGTTGTGTACACAACTAACTAACAACTAACACGACCAACTCTAATCATGCATATACACAAAACGTACAGACATTAAACTACATGCACCTTCACCAAAATTGGCTGATTGATGACGCGCCAATGAATCGATGGCATTGATGACAGCGTGATGTAAGGGGTGTTCATCTCTGGTATCACCTGATGCAGACATCACTTCACCATTGGACGGATCAACAATCACACAGCCGATGACAGGTGCAATTTCTCTCTTACATAAAAAAATTTTCAGAAACTGAATATATAAGTACACGTACAAATCATTCGCCTGTGATTACAGTTACTTAGCTGAGTTGAGAGCATGAATTGTAGATCATAATATAGTATAATGTAACAATATAGTTTAAACCTTATAGTAGGCTAATAAAAATGCGGTGCCGATAAATTATAATAATTCAAGTGCCATCAAAGATCAGTTTTTACAACTCTTATAAATTACTTAGGCATATAAGCATGATCACACGCTATAATAATAATTATTATTACAATTGTGTGTATATATGGTCATATGTATATACAAATAAATATATTTGCAATAACTGGCAGGCATGTTCGCATTATTATCAATTCCACTTTAGATAGTCTTAAGTGTTTCTTAAGACAGATAAATGCTGAGAACTAAAAAAATTGCGCAATTAATTTAAAAAATCGAGTACTAAACTTTAGACTCTTGAAATCATGAGCAGGTGATTCCTACAATCAAATGAACGCACACGCACACACTTTCATACATATATAAACCCACATGCATACACACACGCGCGCGCACACACACACACGCACACACATACACACACAGACGCACGGACATGAACCAAATTTTATACATGGAGTTGTTATAATTTTCAATATGTAAAAAGTAATTTTTATTATTGTTACTTTGTTTAAAATTATGAGAACATTAATTAATAATTAATATAAAAATATAATAAAAAATTCAACGATATATATATACATATATATATATATATATATATATATATATATATATATATATATATTGTATATAAATAAATATTGTAACAACACGATGTTGTTCTTACCTATTGGTCGCGACACCTCAATTTGCGTTTCTTGGTTACAATAACTGGGTTGTGTTATCTTAAATCTTATTTGGCAGAGACGAAACGTACGTCTGGCTTATGGTGGGTAATGGTTTACCTATGTGTATGTGTGTGTATATATATATATATATATATATATATATATATATATATATATTATTTTATATTTATGTATTTATTTTATTTTCTCAAAAAAGAGGGGTAAACTAGAGGGGTAAAAATGTCCTATTATAACGGATTTATAATCTCTAGATTAATAATGGCAGGTCACACGTCAGGTAAACAATAATTGCATCTACACAGTCACTGCAATCTGAAGCAAATGATAATCAATTTCAGAGAAATGTGAAAAAGTTGTATGTTACAACACGCAATAGAAATTTTGAAGCAGTGCGTCTTGAGGTAATCACATGTGCAAAAAACTTCCTTGAGAGAAGGTTGGATGTCGATCAGGATTTACAAGTAAAGGCAATGATAGATGTTGCCAATGCTGAAAATGCTGAAGCAATGATCAAAGCCGGTCGGCAAATTGTATCAGATATTTTTGGTGATAATTATGTTTCAGAATTTGTAGATGATGCTGTTGGTTACTATTCATCATTTGGTGCTTCATTTTTTAAGCCGCATGAAAGCAATACTGCCAAGTTGTACTTATTGCCACAAAAAACAACACCGTCGTCTCTTTTAAACAAGCTGGTTCAAACATTTCTTATAACTTGCCCTCACATCATGATCACGGAACTGGTAATTTCATGCCATACAGAATTAAAAAGCGACCTTCGATCATCTATGTCGAGAAATACTGTGAATGACCGATTATGCATTGCTTTAAATGCTATAGGTACCGCAAATTTTGATCCTCGGCCAGTGGTGGCTGATTTTCTTTCTTCAAAAACGAGACGATCGACTCTACCAGATGATGAACTTTACCGAAACAGGGAATTTGTAAAAAAGTTTTTTAACCCATTAATGCATAGTGTCCTTTTTAAAGGACACTTCGTAATTCAAGTGCTACCCGTATATGTCTTAGATTGTGATGATTAATATTATTCCTGTACACCCCTACGTTATTTATCTAATGGATTAAACCGGATATATACGTTTTTGTTGACATTTTATAAGTTTATTGAAGGTTTAAAAATAAAGTTTGTCGAAAATCGCATTTTTTGTCATGTCTCAATATAAAAAGTAACATTCATTTTGTAGAATTTTCTCTACAATATTGTTATAATAATGTTATAAAATCATCGCTTTTTCATTTATTATCAAACAGTGACCCTACGATGTCGCCGTAATAGCTACAAGGCATGTTTTAGGTATGTCTTTTAAAAAGGACGACATGCAGTATAGGGTACATGATTTTAACGTTGGAGACGGCTTATTGTATATAATAATAATAAAGCGTCGTTTTTCAACCGTTGTTAATTATATTTGGCTCAATTTAATTTAATTAAATTAACAATTAACTAAAAAGATTTATTTCCTATATAAAAGTCAACAAAACTATTAAAATTATTTCAGGCGTTTCAATGTTGCTGAAGTAATCAGCATGCTGGAGGATTCAGATTTTCAAACTGCAGATATTGTCATCTTACCACCTGAAGATGCAACCAAATCTGACCAGGATAGTGGACCAGAAGACGATGATGGTGTCATTGACAAGGATATTTCCATTGATGAATCCATGGTGCCGTACTATGGACGCCACTCATCAAAACAGTTCATCCGTGGCAAACCTATTCGTTTCGGGTTTAAAGTCTGGTGTATGAACTTGGTGCAGTGTGAGCCTTATCAAGGATCAAATGGCTTGTTTAATGCAGATCTGGGACTTGGTGGCTCTGTTGTGACTCAGCTAGTGAATACGCTGCCTCTTGGACCTCCATACAGACTGTATATAGATAATTTCTTCACATCTCCACGACTGCTTGATCAACTGAAGACAATGAATATATCTGCGACTGGTACTGTGCGAGCAAACAGGATGGAGAAGTGCCCTTTGATAGAAGTGGATGTGTTGAAGAAAGATGCACGAGGCACATCTGACCATCGCTTTGACAGAAAGTCGGGAATGTTAGCTGTTCGGTGGAACGATAATAATGTAGTAACAGTGCTATCTAACTGTTTTGGAGTTCATCCACTGATTCAAGCCAAAAGATGGTCAGCAACAAAAAAATAGCATGTTCAAATTCCCATGCCAAACCTGATTGCTCAGTATAATCGTTACATGGGTGGAACGGATAGAATGGACCAGAATGTTGCCAAATGTCGAATAAATATTCGTATCAAGAAATGGTGGTGGGCATTGTTCTGCTTTGCAATTGATGTAAGTGTTCAGAATGCTTGGCAACTGTACAGGATATCAGAAACCGCCAAACACCATGACTATAATCTGATAAAATTTCGGCGAGATGTTGCAATGACATATATCTTGAAGTATCGAGCCACAAATAACATTGGACGTCCAATTCGTAGTCATGCTACTAGCTGCCGTACAGTCCAAGATGGTGTTAGATTTGATGGTCAAAACCACTTCATTGGACACATTGATGGTGGTCAGAAAAGATGTGTTCAGTGTGGTATGAAGGTTCAGCGAAAATGTAATAAATGTGGTGTGCCTTTGCATGACCGCTGCTTTGAACTCTTTCACACAAAGTGAACTGAACTTATATCATTAGCAGTTGAACCTGCCTTAGTTTGATAAACATTATTTTTTATGCTGTTGCTAACATTAATACATTGTATTAGTCATGTTTTCAAATATATATACCTATATTTCATGAGTATTGAATGTTGTTAAAATATTATACCAGTTTTATTCTGATAAATGTTAATTTAAAAATATCATGGTTATGCAAAATTAATTACATTTACTAATCTAGACATCAGTAATGGTTATTTTCCATATAACAGCTCTTATATTTATTAAAATTATTACCAGAATATCATAATTGACAAACCAACGTCATTATAAAAAACATGTACCCTGTAGTGCATGGCGTTTTATTTTTATTTTTTATTTTCACTCTAACTCAATTATTAGGTGTCCCAATTTTTTTTTAATATTTTTCCAATTGTTTTATACCTATAAAGCAACAGTTGTGAAAAAAATGAAATCAAAGATGTCATGCATTAATGGGTTAACACTGAAAATAACTTGTGATTAGCTAATTTAACATCAATTGTTTTTTTTGATACTGTGTCGTTAATAAAAAAATGTCACTTATTTCAAATTGACAAAAGAGTTAGTGCAAGTGCATTTTTAACGCATCAACATTTACATAAACAAAATCATGAACAATTTTTTATAGACAATTTAAATTAGACGTTTTGTCATTAGCACATTCCTGGTTCAAATTAGCTTATTCCTTAGGCTTGTAATCTATGTTTTTACCGCAAGATTGAAGAATTGTATTCTTCCATGAAAAAAACTTCATTTTCATTAGAAAGTTGATGCAATATCTATTAGGCACCCGTGATTTGAAAAGAATTGATAGTATAATTATCATTTCCAAAACTTTTAAAACTTTGTCACCTAGTGAAAATTTCTTAGACGAGGCTCTGAGTTCAACAAAAATCAAAGATTAAATTAGTTCGAAATAAAAGGTACATGGGAAGTATATTCTTTAAAGTTATTACGATTGTTTCCATTATTTTTAATAATATTTAATGTAAAATAATCAAAACATAATTACCTCTATATTACTATTAAACACAGATAACCAATAAAGATAACAAAAATTCTTTAAGCACATATAATTAATAACATTATTTAAATCCAGTAAATTCAAATAATATCAGATAGAATATTAAAGTCAAAAGAAATTACACATGGATCCATTCATACAATACAAGCATTCTATCATTCACACATACTCACATACATACATGCACAAAACACATAAGGTACATAGAAAAAAAACAACATAATTTTATACAATCAATAATAACAAATACTTCCTAACTCAAGAAAATAGTATTTTTTTTAATCAAGTGGCGTTTAATTTTAGATTTAAACAAATGCAAGTGACTGAGAGCTTTAATCTCAAGTGGAATCACAGTGTCCCAGACCTTTTTTTTAGTCTTTATTATTGCAGCTATGACATACGCAGAACCACTTACAATGTTGCATATATAGATTATGTTCTTC